GCTTTTCCTGAGAGTGGAAGCAAAGGTGGCCATGAGCTGAATTTGCTAAGCTCCCTCTGGCTGCTGTGTAGAAAACAGACTGCAGGAGTAAAAGGGGACAGGGGTGAGGTGATCTCTGTCTTCCTCCTAGTTATTAACATATATAATTTCTCCCCTACTTCCACCTCCTGCTGTAAAAATAAGCTGAAAAGCACATCCTCAAAGCACTTAGGGAACTTAGCACAACTGCAAAACTGAGAAAGACTGCCCTGAGTAAGCCTTTGTTTGTATAAGATTCCTGCATGACAAGAGCTTCTGCTTGTATTGAGCTGAAGTGTGTGTGTGTGACAGAGAGAGAGAGAGAGAGAGAGAGAGAGAGAGAGAGAGAGAGAAACCAGAGAGGCAGGAAGCACAGCCTCCTCAGGAGAATTTACAAACATCTTAGGATATTATTAAATAGGTTGCTGAGGGGCCAGGGAGATAGTTCAGTGGAATAAGCACTTGCCTGGCAAGCGCAAGGACCTGAGTTCAACCCCTGGTTCCGCCAAAAATAAATAAATGCATGCATACATACATACATACATACATACATACATAGGTTGCTGAAAACAACAAAAGGAGAGGTAGAGAAATCATTAAGTGATCATTTAACCTAAGGCAGAGAAAGTTAAGGTGCAATTTAAGTTTATTTTTCCATGAAATTACTTGCAAAGTATGGCTCTCTCTCTCCACGGAGGAATTTGAGAGACTCCCTTGGGACATAAAATGGCAGGGGGTGATTGTGGCAGGATGACAGTGGACATTCAGGTCATTTGAGGAGGTCAGAAGTAGCAACCGAGAGCCCCTAGTGTATAGAAGGTACTAGACAAAAGCAAGCATCAATACCCATGTGGGACCTGAGAGAAGATTCTGCCAGGAGACAAAGGGATGACAACAAAACTCTTGATCCTGGCAACATGGCCTCCAAGTAAACGAGAGTGGGAAGGAAATGCAGTGGTCACAGGTGTGGTGGTGTGGCTGGGCGGGAGGGAGGTGAGGCATGCTGCGCAGGGTGCCTGGTGTGAGTTCAAAGTATATGGGCCTCAAGGCTACACCCAAAAAATGGTGACCCAGTGCTCCTTCCCCATCTTCTCCTCAGCTCATTTAGGTTTTGAACACAAAGCTCAAATACTGAACAAATCGGACAATGAACCAAACCACGATCCTCCAGGGCCTGGCCTGGCTTCCATGCCTCCATCACAGAACCTTCACTGAAACCCTAGCCAAGACTCTGTGTCTCTCCTGGTGCTTCCAGAGCTCCATGACTCCATCTACCATTGCTCTGAATACTCTTGAGCAAGGACAGAACATCACTATTTAGATGCCTGCTACCCAGCACTTCCTGTGCTCCTGCTCCAGTTCACAGTCACCTGTGCCTTCCTCAAGGGAGGACAAGGCTGCCGTGAGCTCAGTCTCTCTGCAGCCTGGCACAGACCTGGCCACAAAGCATATGCTCACGTAGCATGTAGAGCTGAAGCAACTGCCCAGATGGGGCTCACAGATGCACAGGAGAAGCCTCAGCTCAATGAGGGAAGGGCTTCCACCGCACCAAAAGCTGGAGTGCGATCTAAATTGGCCTGAGGAAGCCTATGGAACAGAGCATCAGGTGCTCCAACAGGTGGAGCCACTCCTGGGAGACTTCCTGGAAGAAAGGGCTTCCTCTAAGAGATCAGAAGTCTTGCTCTCCACAGAACACCTGCCTCCATCTCTACATCCAAGCTCTGCCTGTTCTTTAGCATTCCACTTCAATATCACCTCCCCATGAAGGCCCCTACGATTGCCACAACCACACCCAAGACCAGAAGCAGTGTCATTCACCTCTAGACTGCTGTGACCTTCATCTGCAACTTCCAGGAGATTCATCCATCTGTCTGGTTACTAGGTCATTTTTGTCTCAAGATGATCATCAAAAATGCCTTGAAAGCAAGTCTAATTCTTGTTTATGTTTGGGTCCCCATTGCTTAACACAAACTTAGCACTCAGTCAAAATGTAGTCATTCATTTATCAATATTTTTCAGCAACCACTTTTTAAAGTGAACATAAGCACAGAGACCTTGGCATATCAAGGTGAATATAGCCCTGGCCCTGTCATTAAAGAATTCATAAACTACTGTTTTGTTGAGTAAGTGACCAAGTGGGTGGGTGAGTTGGTGGTTTGTTGGGTGGAACTCAGGCATCTAGAAAATAGCCCCTTTGCTAAGAAAGCTTCTTCCTAGCTTATTTAGCTTCTCCTCTGACTTCAAATTATTTAGGATCTTGAAGTAGAAAAATTAAAAATGCAGGGCAGGAGTGGTGGTGCATGCCTGTAATCCCCACACGCAGGAGGCTGAGTTGGAAGAATTGCTGCAAGCTCAAGGCCAACCTGAACTACAGAGTGTGATACTTTCTCAAAAAAAATTGAAGATGCAACACAAATTTGCCTCAACCCAAAGTCAACCGGGCAACCATGAGCAACAGTGAGCCTGGTCCTGGGACCCTACCACCACGACGACTCTCTTTGGCCACACTCCCCACACCCATCCTTCTCTCTGTGGGATAAAACAATGCCTGCTCAGTCCCTACCTGCAATGTGACAAAAAATAATAACAACAAAACAATGAAGCCTAAAGCAAGTGCTAAAATGACTTCTTTCTCCTAGCCTGCTGCTGTGCCACTTACTATGACTATGTCCTAAGAGGCACACATGGACACACTTCCCTCAATTACCATAACTGAACATCCACTCGTGACATGGTAAAGGCAATGCCTTATTCTGAGATCCTCTGGTTTTAGAACCCAGAGGCTGGACCCCAAAGCTAACCCAAAATCCTACAGTGAAACATTGCCAAGTAGATCCCTCTTTACTATATCCTGCTAGTTGTGCCAGGGACCAGGGAGGGAGACTTAAGAGGAGTCATCAAGGATCTTCTGGAACTGAGAGAGACTGGCTAACACAGAGGGTCTTAGAATGGGGGACTGATGCTAATGTAGTGCTGGCTTGGAAGCCATGAGGGACCTGATCCAAACCACTGGTGTGACTACAGCCAGGGCTGGAAGCCCAAGCCTAGGAGGTGCAGGTCAGGGCAGATAAGCCCTGTCAGTGGGACTGAAGTCATGCCAACTGCAGTTGGACCCTTCTACTGGGAAAGGTGACTTCAATATATCTAGAAGGAAAGATTTAGAATAAAATGGATCATGGGGCTTCCACCAGGCAGGTAATGCAACGGTCTCTCTCTAGTTCCCCAGACCTGAACTGCTGACCAGAATTTAGTTCAAAGGATCTGAGAGGATAGGACACCCACATTATCTCAGAAGTGCATTCCCCACTCCTCAGTCACCCTTGGCTGGCTGGCCAAGATCCACTCCCTGGACTGCACTGGAAGGAAAAGCTAACATACCTGGGGGCAAGAAGGGTCCCTCTTTTATGTCAAACAGGAGCCTTCTTATATAAACAAAAAGCACAAGCACATACAGCCACTTGCCTGCAAATATAATCAGTCATGTTGATTTGGACACATACTGACACAAGTCCCATCTACAACTGACTTTGCTGGGTAAATCTTTCAGTGCAGCTGAACAGGCCCTGAGACACCCATGAGCCCCACGCAGGCTGGCCACTCCCACACTTTCCTGCTCAGAAAGCAGAGAAGTAAAATTATCTCAGCTCCAGTTTTCACAGGTGACCTTGAGGTTCTGCCTCCAACCTTTTTCTCTCCTCCTTAGAACCCAAAACTCAAAAATGAACGAAACTGGACATTTTCCTAGAACAGGAGCACAGCGTTAGAAGAAGTCAAGGTTGCCTGGCTGGCTACAAAAGTCTCCAATGCTTCCTGTTCTGACACATGGGGCAGTGAGCCCAGGACAGACAATGGGGAGATTAGGGCTAGGCCCTAGGAGATTAGGACAGAGCCATGGGCCCAGGGAGCCACTCCTTGTGGCAGAAGGCCCTGGCACTGAGCACACAACCCCACAGATTAACTCTTGCCTCTCTGCCACTGCCTTCCCAGAGCAGGGCAGCCTTGAGCCTTTCTCGGGGTCTGTTCCAAGACCCCATGGGCAGAGCCCACCATGGGCAACCTTGGTGGGTCCTGCTTGTATGCAGGACACTGTATGGAGGAATTGGAGTCAGAATGACCTTCCTGGAAGTCAAGGCAAAAGCACCACTTGCTGACAAGGGAAAGAGTATATTCTACACCTGTAGCAGGAAGGGTATAGGCCAGGCTGCAGATGCAAAGCTGTGTAGTATTTCTCTGGAAAAGAGGAGACTGTGCTACTCTTGGAACTGGCCCAGAACAGAAACTGAGTGTTCTCCCAGGTTTCACCCAAATGCTTCCAAACTGCCTCTCCCATGTTCAGCACTGTACCAATCAGAGTCTCTAGGGCTGTCCCAGGCAGGAAGCGTCCCCTCTGCCACTCCAGAAAGGCTGCTGCTTCTCTGTCTTCTCCCACAATGCAGGAATAGCAACCCAGGCATAGCCCAGTGCCCCGAGGAGGTGGGCAGTGAGCAGCTACAGGCCCACCACTGCTGTGACTTTGTCCATTCCACAGCCGTGACCTTGTTGGTTCTTGAAACCATTTACTCAAAGCCCTGTTGGACCATCGGGATCTGGTTTCAAAAATCTAGCTAGACACTGGATAGCTAGATTCAGCCCAGACAGCCTCTTGTCACGTCTGTGAGCCACTCACCATCTCCACAATAGAACTCTTTCCTCCAGGCTCAGCCCTGAGACAGTGCTGTCCCAGGTTGCCATATACTGGGCATCTTTTGTAGAATTATGGGTGATCTCTTAAACCTACCCTCCCCTGTAGGCAGGCTTCAGGCTCCACACAGTGCACTCTGCCCTCAATGAGCTATACAACTTGGAAGAAGAGATGCGAAAAATTAATAGCTGGGCTTGGCCTGTGTACACAAATCCATCAGGACCCCCAGTTTCCACTTTCACCTAAGTGAAATTCTAGGGATATCTCCCCAGAGAACAAAGACAGCTGCTCGGAATGAATGACAGAAGCATTTTATTAAAGAGTCACCTAAAGCTGCACAGAAAGAATGAGAAAAGCTGGGGGGACACTGGGCAGTTCTTGTCCTGGCTCTGCAGAGCCAGGAGCTGCCAGATGATGGGGAATGAGTTTGATTCTGATGTTGATAGATGTCCAAGATGTGGTGGGGGACGGCACTGGGCTGGGCTTGGCTGGGGACACGATACCCTGACAGTCCTAGAGATGGAGCTCCTGGTCATATTCTCCTCTGTCCATGGGAGGTGAAAGCTGACAATGCTTTCATTCCAGATGGGGCTTAAGGCCCAAGTTGAGAAGAAGCCACCAAAAGTCCCAGGCATGAACAGCACCTTGGAGCAGAGAGATCCCAGGGAGGAGTGGAGGTGACCCTGGTAAGGCAAGCACCAGGAAGGCAGGGCGGAGGTGAAGTAAAGAAGTGAAGACATGAGAGTGTGCTGGACTTGGGCGCGTGGCTGGGCTTGGGGCCAGGAGGCCTCATCTCTATAGTTGGGATCTTCTGGTCAGGGTAGTAGTGGAGATGATCTTGCTGCCAGAACTGCCACTGACACCGCCGCTGAACCCAAAGCCACTTCCAGAGCCAGAGCCAAAACCACTGCCCAGGCCAAATCCTCCGCCGATGCCTCCAGTGCTGACGCTGCCACCAACTACCGCTGCAGGAGAGGTAAATGACAGTCAGTCCCAAGGTGCCAACAGCCCTCAGGTAAGACCAGGGTGAAATTACAGCAGGGCAGGGCAGTGCAGAAGGTACTTACAGATGCTCACAGCACTCTGGCACTCTCCGGACATCCTGGGGGAAGGGGGAAGCCATAAGTCACAGCAAGCCAAGAGTTATGCTTCACTCATAAACAGATCTCATGCACCTATCCTGTCCCTGAGCAGCTGAGTGCAGCGCTGTTCACTGCACCATCCTGGTTCTTTTTTTTTTTTTTTTTTTTTTTTTTTTTTTTTTTTTTCGGAACCAGGGATTGAACTCAGGCCCTTGAGCTTGCCAGGGAAGTGCTTATTCCACTGAGCCATCTCCCCAGCCCCTCATCCTGCTTCTTAATGTACCAGCACAGCACTGATGCAAGCAGCCCAGAAGACACCCAAACCCAGGGCCCTGGGTCTCTGTCCCTCAGCTTCCCTCCTGCCTTCCCTCCTCACCTGCACTCCTCGCCCTCCAGCAGCTTGCGGTACGTGGCAATCTCAATATCCAGGGCCAACTTCACACTCATAAGCTCCTGGTACTCGCGCAGCATCCGGGCCAGCTCCTCCTTGGCCTTCTGCAGGGCAACTTCCAGCTCTGTGCGCTTGCTGTAGGCATCTTTGAGGGCCAGCTCCCCACGCTGCTCTGCATCAGCCACAGACGTCTGCAGAGTCTGGCACTATGGACAAAGGCACGGACAGTCAGCATCAGTGCCCTGCTCTCAAGATTTTTGTACCTGTCCCCTCTCCTGGGCCAGCTATCCTTGAGTTAAGGCATCAGAATCCTATCTGTCTTTCTCACCACTTCCCCTAACTCTGAAGAGATTTATTCATTCTAGCTAAAGTCCATGAATGTCCCCACCATATTGATAACATAAAGTTGATCAAAAATAGTAAAGAACAAGAAAACCTGTGTACTAGGATGGCATGTCACATCAGCTAGGACATTGCTGAGAAAATCCAGGTGTGTCTTGTATAATGAACTACACAGCCTGCACAGAAGCCCAGGGTCTTTGGGGCCCAATGCACTATCTGCCTGTCCATCATAAAGCCATCTACCCTACACTTTGGGCCTGCACTTCCTCAGGGAAGAAGTAGCACCCACCTGCTTCTTGACATTCTCAATCTCTGCCCGCAGCCTCTGGATCATCCTGTTGAGCTCCGAGATCTCATTCTTCGTGCTTTTCAGATTGTCCCCATGTTGGTCAACTGAGGTCTGGAGCTGCTGGACCTAATACATGAGGAAGCAGAGGTCAAGGGTGTCTGGGTGGAGACCAGTAATAGAGTAGACAGCAGGGATAATACAAAATGTCAAGCAACTCCAATCAGGCCAGAATCAATAGTGCCTGGGAGAATTCATTCATCTCTGGCTGCTCTTGAGCTCCAGCTGACGACAGCTCTTAGTGACCTGTTCCCAGTCACTAAGGCAGAGCCCAGAGCCGCCTCATTCCCTGGCATACCCATCACCCACCTTGGTCTGGTACCAGGCCTCCACCTCAGCCTTGCTTCTCTGGGCGATCTCCTCATACTGTGCGCGGACCTCAGCAATGATGCTGTCCAGGTCCAGGTCACGGTTGTTGTCCATCGACAGGATCACCGATGTGTCACTGACATGACTCTGCATCTGAGACAGTTCCTGCAAGAAGGAAGATGTCCCACATGAGTCCCCCAGGACAGTCTAGCTCACCAGATTTCTGTTATCATGCAAATGGCTACAATACAGATGCAAACGGAAATAGGATCAATGTTCCTACTATGTGAGGAGTAAGTTTCTAAGTAGAAATCAAGTGGCTAGTGACATTTTAGTACCAAAAGCAACGTACTAAAATGTCATGTACCTCCCTGAAGACCATCATTATCCCATGGCTAAGGCAGAGGGTGCTCAGTATCTTGGATGGAAGGGAATGGAATCAATCTACTTCATCAGAAAAATAACAGGACACAATGAAGTCTACCCCACACACTCAGGAATAGATATCCTCTGATTCTAAGACAGCAACTGGTTTTGAGAAGGTCAGAGCTAGATCTTTCATTTCACTCCAACCTTTCTCATCTTGCCAAGAAGTCACTCCCCAAAAGGAAGAAAGAAAACTGGAGTCTAAGAACTGTAACTCCCAATCAACCCACACCCACACAGAGAGGGGATCCCCTTTCCCTGCATAGAAGGAAAAGGGGACCCTCACCGCTTCATAGAGGACCCTCAGGAAGTTGATCTCATCATTAAGGCTGTCCACCCTGGCCTGCAGCTCCACCTTGGTCATATAGGCAGCATCGACATCCTGCAACAGAGGAAGAGGGAGGAGAGACAAGGCACAGGAATTACAATGTGGACAAGGGATATCATTTAGCACCTAAAGGTGTTCTCAGCTGACACAGGAGAAGCTATACAGTAGTACCAGGTGGAGTGGCAAGAAACAGATCATTTGACATATCCTGCCCCTACACCTGCCTGGAGGACATGGAAGTTTATCGTCCAAATGGAAAATTTCTGAATACCTTAGAACTTGGTTCCGCCCCCGATGTCCTTTGACAGAACAGATCTGGGTAGCACCAAGTGAGATAGAGGAGAAGCAGAGGTGGATCAACCCATGACTCCAGGCAAGGAACACAGCCTGCTGCCTTTCCTTTCTTACCTTCTTGAGCACCACGAAATCATTCTCTGCAGCTGTGCGTTTGTTGATCTCATCTTCATACCTGGGGGCAAGGACGGGAAGGGAAAGCCCACCATGAGAAACAGCATTGCTCAACCCTCTGCAACTTGTTTCCAATCATCTGTGTAGAAATAACCAGGTAATTATCTACATTTCCCATTGAAAGGAATCATTTGTGCTTTTATATTGTTTGATCAGTTTTGCATGCTTATATCTTGTAATCTGGACAACTACTTTGAAGACAACAATATACAATATAATTTAAGCATTGTTAATTTACTATTATCTTGTTTTGTAATTTTATATCATTGTTTTTAACAGGTTTATACATGCAGTTACCATCCATGAAGTTATAGTTTAGGTCTTGGTTTATTTGGAGACCTAAAAAGACTATTCTAAAACAAAACTTAGAAATGACAGGTGAGGCGCAAATTACGAAGGATCTAATTGATTTTCTTGCCATGGATGGACTATCCTCAGCCCATTTGGGCAAGTTATATCTCCAGTTCTCTTTTTGGATGTGTGAGTGAGTTGAGAGAGTGCTGGTATTTATTCTCTGCCCCATACTATCTTGAGTAAAATAACAGCTGCTGAATACTGGTGTTCACTCTGTGTTCTGGCTCTGTGGTACATACCTTCTCCATTTCATTCAATTTCATTTATTTCTACAACTGATAATGTAGTGATATCATTCCCATGTTAAAAATTAAAGAATTTTATCCTCATTAAAGTTTTTTTTTTTAAACGGAGACTCAACTAATAAGCTACTTACCCCAGGTTACACAGCTAATAAGCAAAGAATCAGCATTCGAACCAGCTCCATCTGTCTCTACAACCTATACACTTTCAACTATATCCACCCATCTTCAATACCATTTGTGCATGGAAAAACCAGTGTGCCTTGGGGTGTCTGTACCTCAGTTTACAGAAGGAAATGTGACTGTTGGATGCAGCACAGACTGGGTACCTTCCTGCCCCCTTAGTTCTTCAGAGCCTAAGATTCTAAACAGCCGGCGAGCAGCCAGGAACCTGGGCCATGGCAAAGCAGCAGGTACTGGTGGCGGGGGACGGGGGACTTCCTGCTCACATACTTGGTCTTGAAGTCCTCCACACTGTCCTGCATCATCTTCAGCTCGGACTGCAAGCGGCCTTTTTCATTGGCCAGGGCATCTAGCTGCTTCCTCAGGGCACTGATGTAGGTTTCAAAGAAGGGATCGAGGTTTCTGCTAGATGTGGTGGTTGTCTGCTGCTGGAGGAGCTTCCATTTGGTCTCCAGGACCTTATTCTGCTGCTCTAGGAACCGTACCTGTGTTGGAAAGGGAACCAGCCAATTGATGATGGCCTGAAGCTCGGGCAGGAGGGTCTGCCGAGGGCCGCACCAGCCCTGCCAATCCAAGGCAACGGGGTGGGCCAAGAACCACCCGTGCAAGCTCCACTGCACTGTGCCTCCAGGGCACCTCCCACTAGAGTCCACACAGCCCATATCAGCATTACCAAGCCCATATCAGCAAAGGGCCCCACAGGCTGTGCAGAAGAGAGCAGAGCCCAGGCAAGGGCCCAACAGTACAGCAAGATCGGCTTCCCAGCACAGGAACCCATAGACCCCCGATAGGAGCTACTAGAGAGCAACAAGAAACGTCTTCCAAATAATCAAATAAAATGAAGTTAGGAGATAACAACCAGAGGGGTCTTGGCATTCAAAAGAGCCTGACTCGAAGCAGAGAAAAGATAGACTTGCTAAAGTCTTTTGAAATAAGTTCATTATCAGCGGGACCTGCGTGTCCCTGAACCTAAGCAAAGCTGAGCATTTTCAGAGTCTTGGTGAGAAGCCATCCTGCTGGAAGCTTCCTAGAACTTTCCCTCACTCTGTGAAAAGACAGCCAGAGAAACCAAGGAAACAGCTTAGATGGCATCTCCACTTTAGGAGCTAAAAAGAAAAGAAAGCACCTAATAGAAACTGTTCACTTTCTGAACCAAAGGTAAGATGAGGCAAGAGGAGACAGGGAAACGCTAAGCAAGGCTTCGTCCTGCTCTCGGGTCTGCCTGTCCTCCAGGATTGTTCACTTTTGCCCCAAACAGGTAAGAGGCCTAAGACTTCAATGTCCTGCAACCCAAGAGAGCCTGAGCCCAAATGCTACTCTCATCCACCCCATCACCTTGGAGTGACTCAGCTCTCTGGGCTGCTCTGCCCACTGTCATCCATCATACTTAGCTGTCATTGAGTTTTCACAACTTCAGTCTCCAGGTCTTGCATGAAAAAGGAAGTTGGGCTCCAAAAGCAAACATTACCCAGGCAGGGACTTGCATCCCTGTAGCTCTAGGAAGCTGAGGCAGAGGATTGAGCCTAACATGGGCAATTTAGCCAGACTCTGTCTCAGAATAAAAATCTTAAAAGGACCTGGGGGTATAGCTCAGAGCAAATGCCCTGGGTTTGATCCCCAGCCCCGAGGGGTGGGGGGACACACATTTCCTCTTCTCTTCAAACAGACCCAGCAATGAACAGTTTTGCCCAGAGTCACAAGACTGAAAGAGGAGACCTCCCAAAAACCGTAGAGACCCAGAACCTGTCAGGAGAATCAATCCCTTTTTTATTTGCAAAACCTGTTTGGTTTTCTTCTTCCCTCAGAACAGGAATTTTGGGGCCCAAGGATCTAGCTCAGCAGCATAGCACCTGCCTAGCAAGCACAAGGTCCTGAGTTCAATTAAAAAAAAAAAAAAAAGCAAGAAGTGTCAATAGTGAAATTATTAATAAAGTTCATTATTATTTCCAAAACTAAAACCTAAGAAAAAGCAAGGCCCACTTTATAGCTGAGGATACCTGCGCCAGTAAAAGGCAAGATTATTTGCCAGCTATGTGCAGCTCACCCCAGGCTGCTCTTTCAGGTCTACTTTAGCATCCTGTCTGTCCACAGCTGTGAGGAAAAAGAGGAGCGCTCAAGTGGACGGTGAACACAGAACTCAGAGAAGCTCCCTGGCTTTCCCCAGGCCTTGGGTAGGCCGAGGTCTGCAGTTTCAGGACAGATGAGCTCCGCCTGCAGCCTCCTCTCCGGCCCAGGGTAGGTGTGCTCTCACGCACCTTGTCGATGAAGGAGGCGAACTTGTTGTTGAGGACCTTGATCTGCTCTCGCTCCTCAGTCCGGACTTTCTGGATCTCAGGGTCGATCTCCACATGGAGTGGAGTCAGCAGGCTCTGGTTGATGGTGACCTCCTGAATCCCTCCAGCAGGGCACACTGGGAAACCGGGGCCACCCCGACCACTGAAGGAGCCTCCAAATCCACCACCGAAGCTGCCAACACCGAAGCCAGCGCCAAAGCTGCCGGCGCCGAAGCCCCCAGCACTCCCGAAGCCGGCACCTTGGCGGGACCCAGCCGCGCTGCAGGAGATGTTCTTGTTCCCCCTGAAGTTGTAGAGGCTTCTGCTGCCGAAGCCCCCTGAGGAGCAGCGACCTGCACCCCCAGACATGGAGGCCGAGCTGAAGGCAACCTTCTTGCCCCCACCGACGATAGCCGAGCCACTGCTAAATCCCCGGGACCCACCCCGGATACCCTGCTGCCTGGCAATCATGGCTGAGAGATGAGTGCAAGCTCAGAGCGACCAAACAGAGGCAAGAAGGCCAGGACCGCAAGTGCCAGAGTCCTCAACCTGGGTCCTTTATATGGGCTGGAGCAGCAGGGCTTGGTTGCAGGGGCATAAAGAGAAAAATCCAAAACATCTCTGGGCTTGGCCTTTGGCACCAGCCCATCCTCCTCACACCTGCTAAGCATGTCGCTAAACACACCTTCAAAAGTCACTGGGAGGGCACAGGTTCCTGGCTCCTGTCCCATTCCCCTCCAGCAGAATCTCCCCAGTCAGAGGCCCAGCCCCGGCACTGCCCTGCAGGCCCCCTGCTACCTTCCCACCTCACCAGCTCCATGGCGGGCCTTACTGTGGCAGGAATCACATCACCACTCCCCTCCACAGCAAGATTTTGGACTCAAAGGCCTGGGTTCAAGTTCATAGCCCACCACCTGCCCACTCCACACACAGTCATTTCACTCATATATTGGAACTAACACAAATATTTATCTCCTCTACTTTCTAGGGCAGAGCGGCCTGTGACTGGCAGAGTACTTAGAGCACTGTCATGGCTATGCATATGCTTGTGTCACTCACCACTGTGCCTCTTCTTCCAGGTAGGCTTGTTCATGTGCACATACAACAGGGACCCACATCCAGATGTCCCTCAGGAGCCGGGTGCAGAGTAGGGGCAGGAGGGGCACACGCCTCCCCTTGTAAGACCCCTCAGAACTTCTGCTGCTTCTTCAGCCCCCATTGGGTGCTTGCTTTCTCACTGTCAGCGGAGCCCGCCCCAAGCTGGCCGTGATGGGTGCTGCTGCTGCTCTCTTTGCTGCCCTGTGCTTGGCTTAGCTCCACAGTAACAGCATGTTCTGATTCCCAGAATGGGCCCAGTCGTCAGAACAGAAATTCCTAAGTTGGAAGGGGGCATTTTGGCAGAACGGTAAGACTGAGGGGTTCCTTCTAAGAGCCATAGTTCTATATACAAAAATCCCAATTTCAAGCCCCAACATAAGTGCTTTCCCACTGAGAACAATAGATCTGTGTTGAGTCCACCCATTGTCACTAGCTGTCCAGTCGTACACAGACCATCTAACCTCTAACCCTTCCGAGCCATCTACTCATCTACAGAATGGGGCTACATTAATGAGATAATGGAGCTATAGTACCTGGCACACAGGGGGTCAGTGGGCACACATTCTCTTCACTTCCAGGCCTTGTCATTGCCGCTTACTATGGCATTTTTTGTTTTGTTTTGTTTTGTTTTGTTTTTCCGAACCAGAGATTAAACTCAGGCCCTTGTGCTTGCCAGGCAAGCACTTATTCTACTGAGCTGTCTCCCTGGCCCTGACTAGGGCATTTTAAGTGAACCTATATTCTCCTGGCCTTCTCAGTCCTCCATGGAGGAAGTGACCCTAGATGTAAAACAGAACAGTGATCACTACCCAGATAACACCCCAGTCTCAAGCTAAAAAAGCTGGCCATGGTAAAAGTGACTGCATTCCTCCAGGAATGCATTCCTGCAGGTGAGGGAGGGTGGTCAGGGATCCAGGTCCCAGGGCCAAGTGCCAAGGGCAGACCAACTAGAAACTCATCCAGCTCCTCCTCCCTTCCGTCTCTGTTCTGCCTCAGCCTGGACAAGCTCACCCATGACTTGAACCCACATCAGTCCAGTCTCAAAGTCTCCGCATCTCATGGCCTCTCCCTTACCAGCACCATGCTGCCTTGATATAAAGTCAGGTTCCCCGCTGTCTGACTCACCTAGTCCAAAATCAGACTCTGAACAAACCTGGTAGGACTAGCTGATCAGGATGAAGGGGCTGGGGTCTGCTAATGTCACCCTGCCCAACACTGGACATGTGGGATGAAGACGTGAGCAGTTACTCCACATCTCAGGGGCTATAGAAACAGACTCACCCTCTGGGAAGCTGAGATCTGATTACCTAGTGTCCTTCTCAAAGAAGGGGAAGGCCAGCAGGGTGTCAGGCTCTGACTGCTCCCCTCTGTCCCCACACCTCTCAACCACCACTCCATCTCCCACTGCCCCCAGGGTTTGATGGAGACTCTCAGGGGCTTCGTGGAGAGTTTGTATCAGCAGAGGCAAAACCAGGGTGGCCCAGGACCTGTCCATGGGATCTTGTACCTGCAGCTATAATGTTCCAATACTGTAAGAAAATGTCACAGATATGCTGTGTCCACGTTGGGCTTTAAAAAGAGCAAACTAGGAGCAGAAAGGAATTTTCAGAGAAATCTTGTATAATTTGCAATCAATCTTATGTCGTGCCTGTGGGGCACACAGAGTGGAGCCACCATTGAAGGCTTTCCTGCCTGGGATTGCATAGCTGGGAAGTAACAGAGACGGGAAACCTAGCCTATCTGACTACCTTAGCTTCTACATCACAAAGTTTCATATAGGTGACTCTGCCATAGACAGGAGCTTCAGGGGAAAGAAAACACCGATGGCAGCTTACGCGGACCCATCAGTAACACGTTGTACTCTTTTACATGATTAGGTGCTTGGTTTATGCGGGCCTATTCCTGCAGATAATCACTAAGGTGTACACTGGAGGGAGGAGGACAATCTAGTGTTTTCCAATTAACTACCCTTAAATTAATTTAATTGTAAATTCTGGGAATTGCCAGACATTTCCAAAATCCTCAGCCTGAGAGTAAGAAAGTAAAGGCAGATATGAGGGAGAACTTTGCAAGCAAGACCGCTCTACAGCCTATGATGACAGAGGCAGAAGAAAGGCCTTTTCTTGGAAAAGATGCCTCCTTCCTACCAGGCCAGAAGCAGGTGGCAGAATATGGTTCTACCTGGAACTGAGAGCTGAGAGCTCCCCCCACTCCCCACCCCCACACATACAGCTTTGCCTACTGCCCACCATGGCCCTCTCCTTTGGCAGTTGTCCCAGCCTCGACACAGAAGGATGAGCTGCTGCAGGTGTGGAGCAAGGCGGGTGAGTTTGCCCAGGGCTTTCTGATGAGAGAGGCAAAGCACTCGCATTCAACCAGGATTATGGATCCTGAGGCTCCTGCCAGGCAGCCCCAAACCTGATGCCTGGTGTGGGAAAGTGCCCCTCCCTCCCTAGCCAGCTCATACCTTTGCCTGTGGCCCGTTCGGTCACCCAACCCCAACTGTCCCACAGGCCTGAGTCACTCTCTGGGTGCTAGAGCCAGCAGGGGGATCACAGATCCCAGGAAAAAGCCATCAGCATTTCAGAAGGAGGCCAGGAAGGCAGCGAGGGTGGGGATCAGACATAAGGGTCTGCCTAGGGCTCCCCCTTTCTAGGGCCATAGAGCAGCCCCTCTGGTTTCTTGTCCTAGCCAGCCAAAGCATTGTTGCACAAAATCAAGTATGCAAGACTCTCTCTTTCCTCTCCTCTTACTCCTCCTCCTCCTCCTTCTTCCTCCTCCTTCTCTTCCTCCTCCTCCTTTTTTAAGACAGCTCCTCTTGAAGGTGCCAGTGATGGCCTCAAACTTTCAATCCTATTGCCTCAGCCAGCCCTGAGTAGCTGGGAGTACTGGTGTGTGTTCCCACCCTTAGCATACCACCTGCTGTGTACAGGTAGAAGGAGAGAGGCTGTGGTAGCTGCAGTGGAGCACCATGAGCTCTGCAGCACGCTAGCCTCCCTGCACCCCTGGAGCAGGCCCTCCCCCTGAAACTCTTTATAGGAACCCAAAATTCATATTTCTAAGTAACACATTCCTCATAGCGGATCAGCAGTATTTCTAAATAACATGTTACTGGGGCCTCCTGGACTATGACATGATTGTTGAGTTTTATTCTGTGGTCATTAAAACTGTCTCTGCTGTTCAGTTTCTAAATCCTAAAGTTAATTTCAATCATTTTCTTTTCCTCTGCCATTGCCTTATTATATCATTAGATGAGTTCTTCCCAAGTCTGGACTAGAAGCATCCACTGCCCCTTCTGGCTCTTGCACCCTCTACTTCTCTATTTTTTTTTCTAGGACTGGCGATATAGCGTGGAGAAAGAGCATTCACCAGGCATACACAAGGCCGTAGGTTTGATCTCTAGCATTTTTCTATACAACCAGCATAGCCTGGTTGCTAGGAGCCTGGCCTCTGGGACCTGATTGCTTGGATTCCACTCTTTTTCTGGGTGATAAAGTTTCTACAGAGCTTCCTGTATGCTGTTACGCCTTGAGAGGACTCCAGTGTGCATGAGGAGTGCTTTACGCTCCAAATCCCTGAGGAGGGAAGCACAGCCCTGTTAGTGTGCCTGCCTCCCGGGCCAGCACTGCCCAGCTTTGCCAAGTGTTGGCCTGTACTGCAGTGGTGCCACAGCTCAGGATTTCCTCAGAATCCTCTGTGGGCATCATGGCCCCTGGTGGAAGACTGCATGGCCCTCCAGCTCCCCAAGGAGGGAAAGCCAACAAGCTAAAGGTGAGCAGGCTTCTCCTACAGTGGCCCCGGGGCCTCTGGCAGCAAGGAAAGGCACCCACAGGCAGGCAGAGTAGCCCACACGGGGTCAGCCAGGTGCATCTACTTGGGTGTAGGTGGAGGCGTGGGACCAGATCTGCACTAAATCCCTGTGGAGGTGAAGAGGAGGGAGGTAGCCCTGTGACACAACAGAGGCAGGGCAACAAGATATAAGGAGACACAGAAGCAGGGGCAGGACTTGGAGAGGACAAAGAGAAGATTTGATATTGCACTCCTGGGTGTCACTACCCTGCTTTACAACTGTGCAGCTGTGGGCCTGAGTGTGATTTCTGGGAGCTTCAATTGGCTCATCTGTAAAATGGGATATTATGCACCCTTGTTAAATTCTTGGGCAAAACAATATATGCATATGTCACTAAGTCCAATAAATTTTGGGTTTACTTTGATGACTGAATATGGGGGCTGAGAGAAAAATCATGTTACCCCAAGAGGATGCTCTGGCAAGCCAGAAGTTGAGGGAAGGAAACCAAAAACCACCAATTCCTTGAGGGCCCTTCTCCCTCTAAGCCAAATGCTTTCCACAGTTTTCCTCACAGCCCTGATTTTACAAGAGAGGAAGTGAGTTGCCCAAGATAATGCAGCTAGTAAGTGGAAGAACCAGAATTTAAACCCATATCAGTCTAATTCAGAAGACTTTGCACTGAATTAATCATGCAGCCATTCCACAGAGCAGGAGGGGCTGAATGGGAGCCCACAGGTAGGCTGAGTGGTAAGCAGCCACCCAGCAGCAAGGTCTTGTCTTGAGCTACTTAACATCCACCCCTGAGCCTCAGGCTTCTCCTGCACCTCAGGCTTCTGCTCCTCAGGCGTGAACCCTACAGATGCAGAGGCGCTAAGCTCATGTGCTCAAGCCAGTGTAATTGGGACATGACGGGGTGCAGTGGCTGCTACCTCCACCATCAGGGAACTAATCAGTTGACATGACTTCAGTACCCCAGACAGAATAAGCTGAGCCACAGCCAGACAAGTAATACAGTTGCTGTTTATTGAGACACATTTCAGGCACAGACAGGCTCCAGAGATGTGGGTGGACTCAGAAGGGATGGGTTTGGTGGGAGACCGAGGAGTTGGAGCATCCTTAGGGACCACTTCCAACTTGCCTTTCTCCTTTCTTAGCCTGTCCTGGACCCAGAGCAGATGGTCAGAGGAAAGGAGAGACACCAAGGTGGCCTGGAACATCCAGCCTTCTCCCAGTGGCCAGAGGTCACCCCCAAATTACCCAAACACATTGCTCAATTAGGTGACCTCAAGCTCCCCTCCCATCCCATCCCACAACCAAGGAGAAAACCTGGGTAGATTTGCTCCTTTCAGCAAATGCAAATTTTGCACAAAGAGTGTGATTATGAGACACCCTGAATCTGTGGTCCCTGGGGCTGCTCATAAGAAGGTTTGGTGGGTAAGCGGGACAGGGAGAGGACTTCAGGGGCCCCAACTGGCAGGCAAGACTCAGCGGCTAGTACCTCCGGTGGGACGTCTTCACCGTGGTGGTCTTTCGCAGGATGGAAGTGCCCCCGGAGACGTGCCCTCCCTTGGCAGTGCTGTAGCCCACATTGGTGCTGAATCCACCCTTGCTGGCTCCAACACCCCCACCTATGGAGATGCCACCCCCAAAGCCAGTTGCGCTGCCTCCGCACATGGTGGTAGAGTTGCCAGTCACAGCTGCAAGGAAAAGAGTCTGAGTCAGAAAAGACCTGGGCAGAAGGGGTAGAAACCAGGCAGCAGAACCATGGGGCCTTGGGTAGAGAAACCCAGAACAGAGAGCTCACTCTGGGACACTGTGTTCTTGTGCCAGAGGCTCAGTGGAAGGAACACACTTTAGGGCAAGTACAGGTTAGAAGAACAGAGCAGGGTTCTGGGGCCAGGCCAGGGGTGGGGCTGGAGCTGCACAGCAATACTCACAAATGCTGACTGCACTGGGACATTCTCCAGACATCCTAGGGGAAGCAAAAAGGCCAAGACAGGGTCAGCAGTCCCAGGAACTCAAGTGCAAACACTTTCTCTCCCTTTACACTGAACTAGCTTGGTGACAGGGCCCAGTAACAAAAGCAGGAGACATGAAAGTGTGTGCTTGTGGCTGTGCCAGGAGTCACAGCCTTCCCTCAGGGGCCTAGAGCTGCCAGCCACTCATCCCTTCCATCCACTTGCTTCCTGTGAGCACCATGGACAGCAGCCCCGCCTCAAGGGAGACAAAGCCCACTTCCAGCAGCACCCTGTTCCTGCCCACTTGTCTGCTTCCTTCCTTCCCTGAGGAGAAAAATACCTACTTTGTTTCAAAATTTCCACTGATGGTGGAATCTGGGGTTGGAAGGGAAGGCTTCCTACATACAGGGCTGCCAGCAACCCAAGGCTTACAGACAGCTGTGTCATCCCACATGGGCAGCAGAGAGGGGAGCACGGGAGGGAGCTCGCCTAGGTAAGTTAGAGACCCTGCTCCCTGGTGCCTCCACCCCCTCCACCAACTCTGGAGCACACTGCATAAGCTCTCCACAGCATGGGCCTGGGAAGCCCTCCTCCATCAGGGCAGTGGGGTCTCCACCTGCTCTCCTCGCTCTCCAGCAGCTTGCGGTAGGTGGCAATCTCCACATCCAGGGCCAGCTTCACATTCATAAGGGCCTGGTAGTCACGCAGCAGCCTGGCCAGGTCCTCCTTAGCCTGGTGCAAGGCTGTGTCCAGATCCCCAAGCTTCTTCTTTGCATCCTTGAGCGCAAGTTCTCCACGCTCCTCTGCTTCCGCAATGGCTGCCTGCAGCTGCTGACACTGCCCAGGGGAGAAAGGTGTTGGGAACACCCTCATCTCTCTGTCCTCAAGCTGGGCACCACCATCCCCACAGCCTTGACCAAAGCCACTTGGAAAGAATGAAAAGAGATGTGCATCCGGGAGCACAGTTGCTACTAGACAGCAGGATCAAGTAGTAGCGCTAGGGAAGCGCTTAATGGTGGTCTAACCAGTGCTTTAGAAGAGCATAAAAATAAGAGAAACCACCTCAGTATTAGCTAAATGTTTCATTCTGATCTGGAGAAGAAGTCATACTTTTAGCCATCCCCCTGATAGGATCAGCATATGTAACCTGAATCCTGAAGCCCCAGTCTCCTACTCCAGTACCCTGTAGATGGGCGGATCAGACTCTATAAAGGAAGCTTTCCCACTTGATCTAACGTGTGTTGCTGTGTAGCCTTGGACAGTACTTTCCCCTCTCTGAGTCCATTTCTTCCCCCATAAGAAGAGCACATTAATCTTGGCTGGGCATTTGAGTTGACCTACCCATCAGAAGATGAGCAGCCCTCACCCTCTGCATGACAGTGGGAAGGCCCTACACACTAGCAACACCCAGGCCTGAGCCCAGGGCCCCCACACAGAGACGCACCTGCTTCTTAGCTGCATCTACTTCACACTGCAGCCTCTGGATAGTTCGGGTGAGCTCGGCAATCTCATTCTTGGTGTCCCGAAGATTGTCCCCATGCTTCCCAGCTGTCACCTGCAGCTCCTCATACTGCAGGCCAAAGGAATGGCAGTGAGTAGAAGAGAGCCCCTGTCTATTTGAGTGATAACTGGTCCCAGAGCCTAGCCTCGCTGCTTGGGGCTCCTACGGAGACTGAGCGTATCTGGGCCCCAGGAGTCGTGGGGTTTGCCCAGCCCAGGCCTCTCCCAGTAGAGGAAGGCTGAGTCCAACCCCAATCCCTGCACCTGAACCAGTCACTTTCTCACCTTAGTCTGGTACCAAGCTTCAGCCTCAGCCCGGCTCCTCTGGGCAATCAGCTCATACTGGGCCTTGACCTCAGCAATGATGCTGTCCAGGTCCAGGTTGCGGTTGTTGTCCATGGATAGGACAACATTGGTGTCAGACACATGGGTCTGAATCTGGCTCCGCTCCTGGAGAAAGAGAAACAGCTGCTACCAGTGTCCCAAACCCAGGCTCTGAGCAAGCAACAGGGAACAGAAGATAAGGATGGCATCAGAAGGGCAACTGAAGAGCCACTCTGCCTTTCAGGTTCCCCCTTAGAGGGAAGCCACAACTCAGGAAGAGACTTCACCTCCAGAGACTTCGCTGGTTGTGGGGTTCTGCAGGCCTCTGGGAAATCACAGAAGAAAGGGAACATGTGCTTCCTGCCCTGCACTCCTGGGGCCTAGCACTAAGCACACTCGCAGACCTTTTAATCCTCAGATCATGGTGAGGCAGCAGGCCCAAGGCTGACCTACAGGTCATCTTGGGGGACGTAGAGGCAGCTAGCACCAACCAGCTGCCTGTACTCCACCCAGTGAACAGTAGTCCTGGCCATGGGCAACTGGCAAGTGAGGAGAGAGGCTCAGAAGAGAAGCGACACATCCCAGAGCAACAGACACAGGTGTGGTCCAGACAAGACCCAGCCAGTGGAAGGACAAAGCCAAGTGGTTTCCTGGGATCTCTCCATATGTGTGAATAGTCTTGGGCCTTTTCTGAGATCCATGGGACCATGGCTTTTACATGCAAACCAGAGTGCACATGTGAGAAAAATCAGCCCAGAATTTTTAAGAGGTGGCAAGGTGCAGAGAAGACAGTAGAGCTGGGGACACTGGCCACTGGGACATAACTACGCTGGCTCCCAGGGGGCTCTGCCTCTGTGTCTCCCAGGATCCCTCCTAGGCCATCACCAAATTGCCCTCAGCTCCAGCCTGACCAGTCACCCACTAAGTCTTCCTCTGAGGCGCCCTGAGGGGCAGTCCTGCCTCTAAAAGTCAATACTCCTATGTTCTGGCTTCATCTCCAGTGTTTCTCACATGGCAGCTCGGGGTATTGTGTTTCAAAGAGACACCACCTGCATCCACTGAGTATTCACTGTGTGGTTCAAGCACCAGGCCAGATAGTTAACAGACACTAACTGATCATGCACTCCTTTCCAACCACCTAGAGACTAAGTAACTTGCTCCAAGTCACAAACCAATTAGAGGGAGGCCAGTTTCAAACCTCAGGTGTCAGGACCAGCCAAATAGCTCAGCGGATTAAAGAGCCTGCAAGCAGGCTCAGGGGCCAGGAGTTCGATCCCCAGGCCTATGTGCTGGCCCTGCCGTGCTGGCCCTGCCCACAAGGCATGCTAAAATGACAATTAAGACTGGGCATGGGGGCGCATGCCTATAATCCCAGCTCATGGGAGTCTGTAAACAGGAGAATCACTACTAGTACGATCTTGTATTGAGACCCTGAACACTCTATAGACCCTTCCCTAAAATACCAAGAAAAAAACCCTCAGGTGTCTGACCACAGAACCTGCAGTGACAAAGACTAAAATAGAGATAAATATAAAAGTAGATGATTAATGAATAGAATGATTTATTCTAATGGTGTTTGTAAATAGGATAACAAGTCCGCATCTTGTACAGCAATTAACCACTAAGAAGAATATATGCAGTGTATTATTTGTTGAAACTGTACTTCCAATTTGATTTAAAACTGTCTCATTGCTATCTGTTTATCAATAAAATTTTGAAAAATAAATAAATAAATAAAATCATCACCAACAACAATTCAAAAAAAATAGATGATGATGATGATGATAGATAGATAGATAGATAGATAGATGATAGATAGATAGATAGATAGATAGATAGATAGATAGATAGATAGATAGTCAGGGAGACACTGACACATGATTGGTACCACTGACAGAAGTCACAGAGATAAACCCAGGCTCATGCCCTTCCTAACATGCCCTAGTCATGCAACTGAGGCTTCCACGGTGACTCACAGTGCCTCAGTTCCATCTTGTATAAAATAACCAGGATAAGGCCTTCTTCATGTGGCAGTGGAGAGGACTGAGATCATATTTGGCCCATGGTGGATGCTCAGTAAATGCTCCTATCTGCCCAGGCTTCTCTCTCGGTCAGCTGAGGGGCCCACAGCCTCCTTGTTACAGGTGCCACTATCTCCCGTAGCCCTGTGTGCCTCCTCCTGTTCCTTCATGAAAGGCCAGCAGCATCTCAAAACACCCCCTCCCACTTCCCAACTCAAGTGTCATGCCAGAGCACAGACCTGAGTAAAGCCAGTACAGAATTTTCAAGATAAGAAGGCAAAGCCTATCTACCAGACACCACCAGCAGCAGCTGGGTGGTGGTCTGATAGAACGAGGGAGAGAAGGGCCAGAATTTCTCATGAAGCGGAGCTAATGAAGGTGAGGCAGGAAGGGTTCTGTGAATTGTTTCTCCTTAGATGCCAGGACCCTGGAGAAAAGACAGTGATGATATCAAGGCAAGAGAGAAAAGAAGCCAGAAAGGCAAAAGTGGGATCATTAGAGGAGAATGAGTCCCACAGACTCCCTCAGCCAAAGGGAGCCACAGAGACACTCGGCAAGGGGTGGTTCTCCCTAAAAATTTCCTTGAGACCTGACTTAGCCAAAACAAGACCATGAAATGGACCCCTGAGTGCCATCTCAACCATCACAACTGACAAAGCCCATGAGGCAACAAGAGTACCACAGCCCTGGTCTCCCTTCTTGCCACAAGGAACCACAATTGGCCAATAAGGCACTTTGGCAAAAAATGGTCCCAGCTTGGTAGGGAGTTCACCTTCCCTCTACAGTTTTCCACCTGATTCTCCCCATACTCGAGGCCTAGCCTGCCAACCACCTGTGTTCTCTGACACCTCTGACCTGCAGAAGCAGGTCCCTGGCTGGAAGGCCCTTTCTGTTCCTCCTTCAGAAGTCCAGCCCTTCCTTAAGATCCACCTCAAATGTCATCTCCTCCAAAACCTTCCCCAGCCATCCCAAGAAGGGCCAGCCCCAGCCTCCTCTGTGTGCCTCAGTATCTTGTGGCTATCCCAAATACAGCTCTAATCACTTGATAACTCATCCCCAAGGGCAGGAACTCTGTCTTGGTTGCCATGTGGAAAGTACTCAGCAGATACTTATCAAATGAACAAGGTGTAGCAAAGGAAAGAAATGTTGGGTGGACCCGCCATGTGCCTTAGCGATGTCAAAACATCGAGAAAAGAGAAGAGAGAATAGAACCTAAGAGAGGACAAGAAATCTCTAACCCATGAACTATCAATCATCCCAGCAAAGCAGAAACTGGGGAGGCCTCCTGAAACTTCTGTAGAGTGCCCTGAAGTCCTTCCCAGAGACTCCACCCATGCAGAGCAAGGAGAGGTGTTTGCAGGGAGTGATATAGTCAGGGAGGAGCCAGGGAAATGCTCAGTCTGGTACACATAGGCTCAGGGAAGAAGAATAAGGCAAGTGTCATTGAGTTGATCCCTGCTGAAGTCTGGGAAAAGCCAACAATTCAACTGCTTTGTCGTTTGCTTCATTTCCATCAGCGAGAACAGTCACCAGTCTGGAAAGGGCAGAAAATGTGCTTGAAGAAATAGAAACCCAAGACAGACACAAAGTGTGAGAGGCCTGGACCTGGTTGGGATCTCAGTGGCCCAGCCCAGGGGAGCCGATCCTAGTGGGTCACTGGAGCCCAGGGAAATGGATATTCAGTGATCCTCATGAAACAGGAAGAGGAGGAAAGGTTTTAGAGTTCCAACACAGGAAATGTCTTAATTTTCAGACAGAGATTTAGGATGTCAAATTCCTACAAACCTCCAGAAGTCATTACAAAATATTTGAGGATATATAAAACCATCAAGAGTTCTCTAAGAGGGGGTCAGGGAGATGGCTCAGTGGAATAAGCGCTTCCCTGGCAAGCATAAGGATCGCAGCCATGAGGTAGAGGCCAGCCTGGGCTACTTAAACCAGTTAGTTCAAGGCCAGCATGCACTGCATGGTGAGATCCTGTCTCAAAAAAAGAGTTCCCTAAGGAAAAAACAAAATGGATTTCATTCTTTCATGATTATATTATTAAGCTACAAAAGCCCTGCCAAGAGCATTGTTTGACCAAGCCTTTCCCAGCAGTCTCCAGAACAGGACAGGAAAAATGTGCTCCAGATGATGGTTCAAGTGAATTTTAGAATAGCTGAGGGACCTTACATATTACTGATTAGTAGAGTGACAGCCCAGTGGAAAGTCACCACTGAAGACCCTAAGACTCTGTTCTCAACCTTGACCAACTTAACATGTGTTGATGATTTACACTGAAGTATTACTGAAGAACTAAACAGAAAGCTTATCAGGTTTATAACCCAAAGGCTGGCCTCAAAGTCTCTATGTAGCAATCACTAATGCATTGGACAGAAGATTTGAATTCCAAAGTGTCATGTGAGCCCAATGTGGCGGCACACATTTGTGACATCAGCCACTTAGGAGGCTAGGGCAAAAAGAACTCAAGCCAGCCTGGGCAATTTAGCAAGATCCTATCAGTAATAATAATAGTAATAATAATGTGCTTATGAGTCTTAAAATACTATGATGAAGCACAAAATACCATTTCATAGAAAAAATAGAAATGATTAATTCTCTCTCTCTCTCTCTCTCTCTCTCTCTCTCTTTCTCTCTCTCTCTTTGACACAGGTTCCCACTGTGTAGTTCAGGTGTCCTTGAACTCACTGTATAGCCCAGACTAGCCTCAGACGTGTTGCAAGCCTCCTGCCTGAGCCCACCAAGTGCTGGCATGATACACATGCACCACTACATCTGCCAGAAATGGCTAATTCTTTGACTCTGCTTCCAAATCTCAACTACCCAACTGAAGGAAGCTGGAGGAGAGCAGGTAAGTGCCTGCCTTGGAAGACCTTATGTGCAAAACTCCAGGGCTTAACTGAGGTGCTGGTGTGATGAGATGGAGATATTTCTTTTTTTTTTTTTTTTAAAGAATTTTTTTTTTAAATTTTTTATTTATTTATTTATTTATTTATTTATGTGTGTGTGGCCAGCTCAGCCCACCAGGGGGCGGGGCTGTCTGGCATGTGGTGCTGGGGGATTGAACCGCGGTCCCTGTGTTTTTGTTTAGCTTCTAAGTAGGTGCTTTAGACCACTGAGCCATCTCACCAGCCCCAAGATGGAGATATTTCTAAAGCTAACACAAAAACTAGTGCTACACAAGGCTACACAAATAGGTGTCTGAAGCCAGGTGTATAAGCACAGAGTCTGCCTGGAAAGTAGGAGGTTCTGGGTTAGATTCCTGGTACCAAAATATAATAATAATAATAATAATAAATTAAATACATAAATAAAATTCAAGAAGGTTTCCTCACATTTAAAAACATAGATATCTATTATCTCTCCCTGCACCTCTATTTTCTAAAAACTTCCCAAGCATCCCTGTTTCCTGAACTTCCTTACAAGCATAGGTTTTTGTTCCTTCATCATCCTGCCCTCTAAAAGGCTGTCATATGAAACACATATGTCATGCCAAACATGGTGGAACATGCCTGTGATCCCAGAACTAGGGAAGCTTGAAGCAGGAGGGTGGCTATACATCTGAGGCCAGACTGAGGTACAAAGTGAGTTCAAGGCCAGCCTGAACCACATAGTGAAACCCTGTCTCAAAAAAAAAAAAAAAAAAAAAGGTAAGCTGCGTGTGTTGGCACACACTTGTAATTCCAGCACTTGGAAGGCTGAGGCAGGTGGATTGCTGCAAGTTCGAGGCCAGCCTGGGCTACATAGTGAGTTTGAGGCCAGCCTGAACTGCATAGCAAAACCCTGTCTTGAAAGAAAATAAAAGGCACACATATGTCAGGCCAGGCACAATGGTACACAAGTATAATCCCAGTTGCTTGCTAAAGAAAGAGGAGTGCAAGTTCGAGGCCTGCCTAGGCTACATAAAGAAACCTTGTGTAGGAAGAGAGAGAAAAAAAAAAAAAAAGACTTCTCTCAAAGGCAGTGAGCAGGCTGGGGAGATAGCTCAGTAGAATAAGTGCTTGCCTGGCAAGTATAAGGTCCTAAGTTCAATCCCTGGTACTGGGAAAAAAAAAAAAAAAAAAAACAGAAATTTCAAAGGCAGTGAGCTCCCTGTCATGAGAAGTATTATAGTACAGTCTACATGACCACCTGTCAGGGATGTCATGGAAAGAGTTCACAACCTGGGGACATAAGGGCCTTAAGGGCCCCCCTCCTAATGCTGGGACCAAATGATTCTCTGATCAGTTCATGGTAAACTCAGCCCTCTCACCTTAGTCTCCATGGCCGCTGTCTCCTGAGGCTCCTCCTGGATTCTTTGATCTACCCACCCCAGCCCCAGCCTCCTGCTCCAACCTGGAATCCTATCCCTCCTTTCCTTGCATCTGCCACTCTGCCCTCTCCTCCACTACAAAAAGAGCAGGAAGAGAGCAGAGTGACTAAAGCCCAGTTCTGGAGCTCAAGAGCAGAGTTTGAATTTCTGGTATCACCTCTTACTAGCTCTGTGACCACAAGTAAGTTACAAGGAGCCCCAGGGCCCTAGACTATAAAGTGGAGAGCATCGTAATACCCGCACTGTGGAATTGTCAAAGGAATTTTAGAAACCCTGCCCGATTTGTGGCCCATCAAGAGCACTTAATACATGAAAAGCAGCACTAATTAAAAAGGTCAAGGTCTCCTCCTTTACGAGTTAGGTTACATTGATGAACTCAGGCCAGATTTCCCCAGTGTTGTATGCAAATATATGCAAATCACCCCACCCACTCTGTCTCACCATTTCATAGAGGCTTTGCAGGAAATCAATCTCCTGAATCAAAGAATCTGCTTTGCCCTGCAGATCCATTTTGGCCATGTATGCAGCATCAACGTCCTGGAGATGAGGGAGGGAGGCAGAGGCTTAGCCCTGAAGGGTCTCCCCTCTTTCCCAGTCAGCCCAGCACCCGCACAACCCAAGGACACCTTTCCCAGTCCCCAGCATCCTGCTCACCTTCTTGAGCACCACGAACTCGTTCTCCAGAGCAGTGCGCTTGTTGATTTCATCCTCATACCTGGTACACAGGGAAGGCTCAGGCCGGGCTTAGACACAGGACCTACTCAACTTTCAAGAAGCCCGGATGGAGACCCCATTCCCCAAGGACAATTTTGGGAAATAGTTCTTCAATGCAGTCAACCAGTAAAAAGAAAAACTTGAGGTACTGCCTTTACTTAAATATTCTCTCTTTCCACCCACATTTGAGGAAAGGGACACAGAATTTGTACAACAAATAAATTACGGAATAGCAATCAAGAGCACCTGTATTTTTGGATCAGCATCCTTAGGAATGTTTGCAGGAGTAAAGGAAGATTGCCAACAATGGTTAACCTTTGCACTTAGTTACAGCAACAAGCTGTCCTAAAAACAGCCAGCACACGCAACCACTTGTGCTAAGACTTCAACGTGGAGAAACCACTAGTGTGGTAGTATGGGAGAGGCTGTAAAACTTGGTCCTTACCTTTGTAAATATACATACACATAGATCCATCAAGCACAATATATAAACCCTACTTGGATGCTTGATGCAAACTGTATTTTTACATGTGTGACATTTATGGATAATTGAAGATTTCAAATCAGCCAGATATTTGCTGATATTAAAGAATGATTGTTTTAAAGATTTTAGGTCTGACTATAGCTCTTCTTTATGTCTTATTAAGGGAGATAGATTACCATATGAATATAACTAGAAAAATATTTGTGAATCAGATGACAGGATGGCTGAGATTTGCTTCAAGACAACAACAAGGAAGGATGGGAAGGAAGGAGGGGTGAGGTAGGACGAGACTGGCTATGTGTCAATGGATAAAGTGTATGTGAGAACACGGGAGTTTAGTATTCTATTCTCACGGCTTTGTAAAAAGACTTAATTTCAAATAATAATACATAATGTGCCAGTTCTCCAGGCAGCAGTGGGCACTTGACCCAAGCACCAGAGGGACCCTGGGAATGGGGCGGTGCTCCTCACTTGTTCTTGAAGTCCTCAAGGCCATCCTGCACATTCCTCAGTTCCGTGTCCAGCCTCCCCCGCTCTCCCAGCTTGCTGTCCAGGTCCCTCCGCATGCTGTTCAAGAAGGCCTCAAAGACAGGCTCCAGGTTCTTGGTGACTCCCACGTTCTGTCCTTGCTCCTGTAGCAATGCCCACTTGGTCTCCAGCACCTTGTTCTGCTGCTCCAGGAAGCGTACCTGAGCAGAAGAAAGAAGGACCAACTGGCAGGGATCATTCCTGGCCATAGGAGGGGCCAAAGACGAGGCCCACAGCCACCCCAAGCCAGCCTGATAGCCAGTGCATCACCACCTGCACATTACGAGGGAGCAGTCCCCACTGCAATGACAGTCCCACTGGACAAAAAGAACTCAAAAAACAAAATATGGAAGAGCCCCTGCTCGGGAGGTCTTGTGGCCTTGGTCCAGTTGTTTCTCTCTGGGCCTTCCCTTCTCATTTGTCCTGAGTATAGTAGACTAGTCAGTTTCTGAACCCTAATTCTGCATCAGAATCAGCTGCTAATAGTGTTGATAATACATATGGAGAGAAAGAAAAATAAAAAATGTGACAAGATGCGGCCAGATGCTGAATCTGAAAGAATATACAAGACCATGTTGTAGAATTCTTACAACTTTAAATTCCACAGTTTTTCAGAACTAAAAATTTGTTTAAATCACTTTTTCCCAAACTATAGGTTCGGAAGGGGACACACACACACACACACACACACACACACACACACACACAAGATCTCTGCCCTGCCAGTGTTTTGAAACACCTGACACCAAGCTCTCACACCCCCGGATCCCAGACAGTGATTCTGTAAGCCTGGGAAAAGATCTTGTTGCTTTGACCTCTGGGACAGTGGCACAAAAGAACCAGAAGTCACTAGGGGAGAGGGTGAGGAGGTGGGCGGGGCAGCTTTCTTCACCCTTGCCACTCCATCTCCCAGTCCCACCTCCAAAGCACTGTCACCCGCCCGCACTGATATTGCCCGCAGCTCCAAGGGGCAAGCGCATCTCTCAGAGCAAAGAATCATCGCATCCAGAAACTGAGCTCCCAGGCCTACCCCTGCCTCCAAGGACCTGTATGATCCTGGCCAAATCACTTGGCCTCTCTGAACCTCAGTTTTCTCATCCTAAAAAAGAGCACAATATCATATAACCTGATTCCTTGTAGAACCCCAGTGGGTATCACTGAGAGAGGATATGAATGTTCTTTATAAAGCACAAGCCACAGAACCAAGGTATGATTGTTCACCAGATCATCCTCATCATGACCCCACTGCCTTGGCTCAGGGTCAAGGTAGATAACACCAGAGAAAGGACCAAGAAATGCCAGAAAGCAATATAAAATCACCCCAGTTAGCCTGCAGCCAAATAAAGGATCCACGCTATGATGGACAGTGAACAGCCTCCTCATTGTCCCTCTCAAACTGAGCTTCTTAGCTTTAACATGGAGGGGGAAGGAGAAACAACGGGAACTTCCCGGAGGGCCCCCATATGCCAGTTGTATTCTGATCATATCAGCCTTTGGAGGACAGGGGCTTACAGAAGCATGGACTCCAGAGCCACAATCCCTTGAGCTATAAAATGATAAAAAGTAGGAAGAGGGGGCCAGGGAGATGGCTTAGTGGAATAAGTGCTTCCCTGGCAAGTGCAAGGGCCTGTATTCAATCCCGGTTTCCAAAAAAAAGAAAAAGTGGTAAGGGCCACCACACTCAGAGGAGTAACGGGAATAATCCAACTTTAATAACAAGATAAAGCTACTGTGTGATCAGATTAATTATGACCATAGGAAAGATTCCAACACAGCCAAGGTGGGCGTGACCAGAAGGCCTCCTAGGTAGATGGAGATTCACCTACATTCACAAAAAAGACCCAAAAGATGGTCCAGGTCATCCACATCTCAGGCTCCAGGCTCAGGCTGACAGAGATCAAAGTCACTCCACCAACCCCACCCTGTGCATGTGAGCTAACATCCTCTGACTGGCTCTCCTCCCTTGGAGACCCGGCCTCCTCTCCCAGTCCCCACTCCCAGCCCAGCCCACCTTGTCGATGAAGCAGGCAAATTTGTTGTTGAGGGTCTTGATCTGTTCACGCTCCTGGGTGCGCACCCGCTGGATCTCTGGATCTATCTCCACATTGAGAGGGGTCAGCAGGCTCTGGTTGACAGTGACTTCTTGGATCCCACCAGGAGGACAAACAGGCCCAAATGTCTGCCTGCCAGCAGCTAGGCCTCCATAGGCCACGCTGCTGAGGCCAAAGCCTCCCAGACCCCGGCCTGAGGAGGCCACACTGACTGAGATGCTCTTGCTGCCCCCCAAATTATAGAGGCTCCGGCTGCCAAAGCCACCCATGCGGGGCCCACAGCGGACCCCACCACCACTGCCACCGCTCCGGGACATCGTCACTGAGCTGAAGCTGGTGTGGGTCCGAGAGCCACCCCCCCCACTGGCTGAGTTGGAACTGAAGCCTCCTTTGGTAGCATAGGTCTGCCGAGACACAGAGGACCTCATGGCTGTTGGAGCAACGGAGCAACAGGCAGACTAAGCGTAGAAGAAAGTGCAGTGAGCAGCTGGGCCACTAATGGCCTTTTTATCTTTTCCTAACTGGGCTGGCCCCTGGGCTCTGAAATATACACCCCTGCCCCATCACCCCAGGGAGGAGGGAAGGCCCCTCCCAGCCATCACCTGTGCTCTGGAGCTGCGGTTCAGCCCAGTCTCTTTGGGGCAAGATGCCACCTTCTCCCCCCTCAGGCTCTCCTCACTTGGAACAGGATGACACGGGCTCCCACGGCCACCTCCACCACCCAGGGGCTGGCTGGTCTCCTCCCACCCAGCCCTGATGGCCGCCATCAATGGGGCTCTGTTCTGTGGGGTTTGTCCCAGGGACCTGTTGTAAGCCAAAGCCCCAGAGCTCAAGGCTATGTCAGTGGTAAGGGAGGGAGCATTGGGCAATGGGCTGCTGGAGAGACAGCCCAGGTCTGCCGTAGCTCCAGCCTCCCAGCCCACAGCCTGCTGCCTCCTGGCAGGGCCAAGGTTGGGGTGCAGGAGAGAAGATAGGCACAGAGGTTGTCTGTTCTTTCATCATATACTGGACAAAGACCCTGTAGGACAAAATGGGCTCAAGGACAGAGAGAGAGAGATGTGTTCAAGCATAAGGCCTGGGCACATGATAAGGGGTTAGGAAGGCCCAGGGTTCCCAGCAGCAGCACACTTTCACCTGGGGATGATGCAAGGCAGGGGGGCTTCAGCCATCAGCTGAGACCCCAGTCCTCTGCCCTGTGGTACAGTCTCCCCAGAAGGGATCTCCACTTTGGAGAGAGCCAAGGGTGGGTGGAGAAAATTCCTATCCTGGAAAAGATGTATAAATGCCACAGGTACATGTTCAACCAAAGCCCCAACAGTCCCATGAGGTGTCCCATCATTGCCCTCTTCCCCTGCCCATCAGGAACCCAAATGCTTGACTCAGAGGGCCCAGAGTCCCTTGTGTCATTGGCCCCTACCCCGACCCACCTCAGGTGGCTGGGATCAAACATACCTGCAGCAAAACAGACTACAAAGGTAGGGGCTGTAGATGACTGGGAGGTGACCTAGAGATTGGCCTGCCTCACCTCCTTCAGCTTTCAGCAGGAGGATGGTCCTGGAGAGGACAGACTGGCCTCAGGAAGGAGCAGGGACAGCATTTGCTATGCCCCGACGTATCCCATCAGGCTGAATCCAGGATGTTCAGCCTGTTTGTCTCCCCCAGATCCCAATACAGACGCATGGGACCCCAATAAAGCAGGCACTCTCCATCAGCCCAGGGGAGGCAGACAGAGAGAGAACTCCCTCCCATCCCAGATGGGCTCTGGGATCTTTTACTGGGGCCAGTGGGAGGTTGTAAGTACCCTCCAATTGCTTGAAGAAGGTGAAACTGACTCCCATAAGGGATGGGTTGAAGCCACTCACAGAATTAGGCCCTCAGTGCCCCACACATTATCCTCCCTGTTTGAGGTTGGGATACCAGGCATCTCTGGAAGATTGGCTGAGAGATAAATTGCTAGTATACTGTGTGCCCTCAGGCAACTCTCAACCTCACTGATCTCAGCTCTTTTGCCTCTAAGAAAATCTACTATAAAAGTCCTTTGGGGGAAAAAAAAATAACCTGAGATCCCAGACTAAGCCATCGCTTCCCACCAAACTTTGTCTCCTCTCCCCAGGCTGGGAGACTCACCCTAGCTTATCTCTTCCAGGGGCGCAGTGTAGGAGGAGAGACATCTGAGAAGGGCCTTAGCCTACGGGATGTGCTATGGGGCCCTGGGCAAGACAGTGATGTCAGGGCTCTGAGTCACCAGGCAGGTGGGGTGGTGGGAGTGGGAGTTGGGCTGTAAACACAAATACACCCCTCCCCAGAGGTGCATGCACACAACTCACTCACACTCACCTAGCACTGTTTGTTTTGTTTTGTTTTTGCGGAACCAGGGATTGAACTCAGGCCCTTGCACTTGCCAGGGAAGTGCTTATTGCGCTGAGCTATCTCCCTGGCCCCTCACCTAGCACTCTGGCTGTGGCGGGCTTTGTGCTGGGAGCTGGGGATGGATGCCCAGCAGCTCAGAACCACTCTTGGGGGCACACTGTTGCTTGGAGCCAGCATCCCTCCCACCCAGGTGGATAGCTCCCCAGTTTGGCCCTCCAAGCCCACCGTGGCCACTTGGCCTCCTCCAGCCCTTTCTCTCCACTCTCTTCTCAGACACCCAAGTTCAGCCCTTCTTTCTGCAGCCTCTTAATGGGAAATATTCATAAACCCAGAACTTTGACAGGCTGGGATAGAAGGATCAAAGGTTCAAGGGCCCTTACCCCACAACTTAGCGAGACCCTACCCCAAAATGAAAATAAAAAGGGGTTGGAGATGTAGCCCAGTAGTAAAGCACCCCTGGGTTTGATCTCTAGCACCAAAAATAATTAAATAAATAAATAAATAAATAAAGAACACTCGATTTTTAGAATTTATTTAAGCAATGATAAACAGAATAAAGTAAAGCATTAAATGATTTTGTGGTTCAGACAGCCCTCAGAACCAAGGCAGGTTTAGAGGATTTCAACGCATTACACAATCTGACAGCATTTATGAGAAATGGAAGTATACGGTAGAGACATCTTTATTAGCTGGCTGGTGACAGAGCCGCCTGCAAGCCTCCATGCGCTCAGCTAACCGTAGCTGCATGGAGTTGGTTCAGTCTGAGTACTGTCTCCACCACAGCCAAAAGAACAAAGCAAATCATTTGAAAACAGCAACTGAGCCCCTATCCTGGGCAGCCTGGGAATGTGGGCCAGCCTGGGTACCAAACAACAGGAAGACATGGGGTGGGGAAGGAGCTCCAGAGAAGTAGAACTTTCTAATCTAATAGCCCTTATTGTTAACAGACATTTATTGGCCCGGAGTAGCCTAAGTACTTGTCACGCAATAATATATTTCACCTCCACACTGGCTGTGCTCCCCCGTCCCCTTCCCACCCCAGCACTACACTCCACCCTCTCTTCACCCTGCAGGCTGCCACCTTGCCCTCTGCTTCCGATCAGGTTGGCCACAGAAACACAGACTGGAGATCAGAGGAGCGACAGTAGGGATTCCTCCCTGCTCCCCCGGCTACACAGCAACAGCCCTTCCAGAGGCTCCCTTCTCCGCAGCTCCAGCAACTCCGTTATCCAAGCAGTCCATTTCTCTCATTTCCTCAGCTCCACATAGGGTGGTCCGATTGTCCTGACAGTCCCAGGACTGTCTCTGTTTTAACACGAAAAGTCCTCTTGGTCTTGCACAAACTGGTTAGGCTGGCCACTCTGGGGCTAGACCTCTGCTGTTGGTCTCTAGGCTCCAGGTCCTTTATCAACCCCACAGAAACTCATAGTAACCCTGTCATTAAAATCAGTTTAGCTCTCTTGAGCCTTCATTTCCAGGATGAGAAGGGAAAGAAGGGACAATGATACACACAATTTGCTGCATAAATCGGTGCATGCCCCAAGACAAGGCCATTAAGAAGTTCATCATTTTAAATATGGCAGACATCATCACCACCACCACCACCACCAGGGACATTCTTCAAGCAAATGTCCATGACATCTATGTGCTTCCTGAGCCATGAGTAGCTGTGTAGCTGCCCAAGTTGTCCATTCACAGCAGAGTTCTAAGGAATAGATCCAGTAAAGCCCCTCAGAGCCAAACAAACCCCCTTCAATTCAGACCTGAAGGTGCCCCTCTCAGCCCCCACCAAAGCCAGTGGAAGGAATCAAGTCCTTCAACACTGAAGAAAGACCGTCAGTGCTTTCTGGGGGAAAAAAAAGGAAAACAGAACATATCTTCTTTTGTCAAAAAGTCTATTTAATTGAGCTATCTTGGGTGAATTTATTTCCTCCAACAATGCTGACTGGCATGGTCCCACTCAGCCCTGTGAGATATTGCAATAATTCTCTGCTACAGAGAAGGAACCTGAGCTTGGGGAAGTTAAGTCACTTGATTGAAGACATACCACTGGGAAATGGCAGGGCTGGGATTCCAGCCCAAGGGTTCCAGCTGCAGGCTCCCATTCTCAGCCACTCATGTTCCCTTCCCATAAGGCCAAAAGCCTTCTTCTTGGACCACTGATGGAGAAACCTGTGGGTCTGAGAGAAAGGATGCCTCCCCTAGAGCAAGAGAGGAAGGGCATGACCTCCCACAGCCCAGACTACAGAGCTGGGTTTATGCCAGGTCCCCACCTGGGTGTAGAAAGAGGAAAGGGAAAGAAGAACTGACAGAAGCCCACACTGTAGTCTGGGTGGGTGGAGAAGACCATTCTCCCAGCCCCTCCCAACCCTGACCCTGACTCCTACGTGCCTGGATTCCTGCAGCGCTTCCTGATAAGAGAGGAAAGGAGGGGAAGTTTCCAACCTCTTGTTCAGACAGGCCTGGGGATGGGATGTAAGCCAAGGGAGAAAGGGGTAGGAGGACAACTCCAGCTCTCAAGCACAGGCTGGGCTGAAATGCTCTTCCTGTGTACACAGAAGTACCTGCCCAGACGTCACAGGCTGATAGAGGAGCTGAGTCCCCAGCCAGCACTTGGAAGACAGAATCAGGGACAGCAACAGGTGCAGCCAGATTGCTCTGGAGACAGAAAGGACCCAACAGGTTCAGATGTGGAGAATTAGATAAGGTTTCTGGGAAGAGAAATTTTCGTGTTCACTTAGGAAGAAGAACAGAGATGAAGGAGACTGTCCCAGGTCAGCACTGGAACCAGTCACACACAGCACTCGGAAGACAAGGGAGCAGGTCACAAGAGCCACTGAAACACTCAGGGCAAGAGAAATAGACAAAAAAAAAAAGTATGAATAACAAAGAGAGAGAGAGAGAGAGAGAGAGAGAGAGAGAGAGAGAGAGAGAGAGAGAGAACTAGACAGCACTCAAAGGGCACCTGGGAGGCCTGAAGGACTCCTCTCACAGTCTGACTGGGATGCTGGTGAGATGCTGTGGTACACACTTGCACACCACAGATACTCCACAGCTGCCTTCTAAGGAGGGCAGGGTGGGAAGCTGCACCACTCTGTCTTGCTGAGTAAGGCATGCAAGCCAGGGGCAGAGCTGAACTGCTGGAAAAAGTAGCAGAAACATTGAAAATTGCCATGGGGAACCTTTGTCTCTGCCCTGTGGCCTCTCCTATAAAAGACCCACTTTTAAAAGCTATTGCTAGGCCAGTGAGATAGCTCAGTGGACTAAAGAATCTGCTTAGGCAAGCTTAGGCAAGTGCAGGGACCATGGTTCAATCCTGGGCACCACATGTTGGGTCAGCCCTGCCTCTAGGTTGGGCTGATCCAGCCACAGAGTCCAGGTATAGTGGAGTGCGCCTGGAATCCCAGTGCTGGGGAAGCTGAAAGCAGGAGGCTCACCATGAGTCTGAGCTGCATAGTGAAACCCTGCAACAACCAAATACATAAAAATAAATAAATAGATAAATAAATAAATAATCTATTGCTTAGCATCAGTGCTAAACTGTTAACCTGCTGGGGCATTTCTACATAAGGTTCAGGTTAAGCTTTATAAATGATAAATAGAAAAGGTAATAATACCAGGATTGGTACCCTGGATAGAGCTAGATCCAGGTGTCAAACGAATGTGACTGTAAGAGACAGGACACAAAAGGACCTTCCATAAATTCCCATTTCACAGTACAGAGGATATCAGTTACTCCCAGGAGGCTAGGCTCTGGCTCTAGGCTGAGAAACTGGAAAGGGAGCTCTGGCTCCCATTTGCAAAATAGATGATACTGGAGACACTTGAAGTAGACAGAGTGGGAGAGGCATGACATGACCCTTGCCTGAGTAGCCCATCCTAGCACGGAGCCTCTAGGATGGTTCTGAATTATTTGTAGGAGGGAGGGGGAAGAGGGACAAAGATAAGGGAGTACCCACCCAGGGAGAGAGTGACTGCTGTGTCACATCATGAAGAGCTACAGAAACAGAGACCAGAGGGGAAAAAGAGGGCAGGAGGAGGCATTCCTTGGTTCCAACCTTCAGCCCTTGGTCAGTGAATCTTGAGCCTCTCCCTTCCCCATAAGGAACAATCTCTAGAGGAGGGTGTTGTGTGTGTAAGTCAGCCAGCAAATTTCTAGCTCACCCTAAAGGCAATGCAGAAAGGAGAGATGAGGTTGGCTGGCTGGAGGATGGGAAGCCATGCACCATGACGGGGGTTATGGGAGCAGCTCATGAATGAAATACAAATCCCCAGGCAAAGCACCCAAGCGCTCAGGACAGCAGGTGGGTGGAACTTTATTGACTTGCTGAGAATCCCCTTGATCTGCCTCGGGAGGTGGGTGTTGGATTCAAGGCTAGTTATGAGCTGAAGGACAGAGTAGGAGCAGGGCTGGAAGGTTCAGGAAAGAAGTGGGCACCAGGTCACTCAGTAGGTGATGGACGTCTTCAGACTTGACTCCACTGTCTTCTTCAGGATGGTGTGCTGGCTGGAGCTAGAGCCAGAGCTGAAGCCAGAGCCAGACACAGAGCAAGAGCTTGAAGCAGGGCCTTGGCCAGAGCCCGGGGTGCTGCTGAAGCCTCCAGTCACGACGCTGGAGCAGCAGGATCCAAAGCTGCCTTTCCCACCTCTGAATCCACAAGCACCCCCTCGGCTGCCACCAACACCTCCAGACACAATGCCACTGTCTCCCACTGTGGCTGCAAAAAAAAAAAAATGGGTCTCAGAAGAGTCCTCAGTATCTATGGTGTTCCCTCTCTAAACATCCCCTGGTACTCACAGGTGGCCACCCGGCTGGTGCACTCCCCGGACATCCTGGGGGAGAAAAGACAAGAAGCAATGAGAAAGGCTGCAAAGAACGTGTCCCCAGGTGTCTAAAAATTGGGCATTCTTTTAGACAAGATGTCTCTAAAGTGCTGAAGTACACACCGGGCTCAAACTTCCCATCCTCTGCTTCAGCATCCCGCCTCTAGCAGCAGCTCAACTACCTTCTCAGCACATAGAATCCACATCCCCAATTTAAAATCCCTCCCAGCAGAATTGGGTGCCCTTAGTGACCCACAGTGTCAGGAAATCTCTCAGAATCCGTGTTGGCAAGGGGAGCACTATCTGGGCATTCTAGCTCCTTCCCCGCCCACACACGTATTTCTAGGTCCATCCGAGATGCCCCACCTGCACTCCTCGCCCTCCAGCAGCCTGCGATACATGGCGATCTCCACGTCCAGGGACAACTTCGTGCTCATCAGCTCCTGATAGTCTCGGAGCAGCCTGGCCATGTCCTGCTTGGCCATTCTCAGAGCACCCTCAAGCTCATCCAGCTTGCTTTTGGCATCCGTGAGGGCCAGCTCCCCATGCTGCTCAGCATCGCTGATGGCTGACTGCATGTTGGCATTCTAAAAGGGAGGAGAAATGAGGGAGAAAGTGGCTGTGTGCCCAGCACAGCCTCCAAATCGCCCAGTGGGCACATACTTGGAGGGCTGGGGTGGGCCATAACCTCAGGGGCTTAACATCATCATGGCCACCCCACCACAGCCCCCCTCATTCTAAAATCAAGTGTTCCTCCCCTGCTTCCTTGCCTTGCTGTGGAGCGCTGAATGTGGCCCTGCAAAGTTTCATGCCCACCCCAACCTCAGAAAGAAACCTTATATGGAAGTGGAATTTCATTGATATAATTAGTTAAGGATCCAGGACCATACTCTGCTGCATTTATGCCAAGACCTAAATCCAATGACCGGTGTTCTTACTAGAAGAGACAAAGCCACAGAGACAGAGAGAAGACGCTGTGTGAAGATGGAAGCAGAAACTGTTAATGCAGCTCTTAAACAAGAAAGCCCAGGCACCACCAGAAGCTAGGAAGAGAGAAAGAAGGATTTGCCAAGCTCCTCCAGATGGAATAAAATCCTAGCCACACCTTGAGCTCCGATTTGCGGGGCCCAGAGCTATGAAAGAATACATTTCTGCTGTTCTCAATCACCAAGTCCGCAGCAATTTGTGCAACAGCCTAGGGAGCTAATACACCTCCCTGGGCCCCTGCTCTGTCTCTCCCTACCCACCCCCACCCCCAGCACTTTAGGAGATGCTCTCCTGAGGCACCTAAAGATCTTTCTGTCCTGTATGTGTCCTGATCTTCAGTCATCTTGAGGGCCATCATGGTCCCCTTTCAAATGGTTGGTTTCAAATGGTCAGAGCCTATCAAATCATCTGCCTCAGAGGACAGGGAGATGGCTCAGTGGAATAAGCGCTTTCCTGGCAAGCACAAGGGCTTGAGTTCAATCCCTGGTTCCACAAAAAAAAAAAAAAAAATCTGCCTCAAATTTTTGGTTTAGGGCTGGTGAGATGGCTCAGTGGTCTAAAGCACCTGCTTAGAACAAAGCTCAGCAAAGCACAGGGACCGCGGTTCAATCCCCCAGCACCACATGCCAGCCAGCCCCGTCCCCGGTGGGCTGAGCTGGCCACACACACACACACACACACACACACACAAATAAATAAATAAATAAATAATTTTTTTAAAAAAATTTGGTTTAAAAAATACAGTGTCCGTATGTGCTCTCCCATCCAGTAAGAAATCAGAGAAAAGCCAGGGTGCCTGCCCCTCTGCCTTACAGCTGATTGCACACACATCAGATTCAGGAGAGAAGCAGCTCCCCAAGGCGCCATGATTCCACCCCTGCACCAGCACCCCATGCTGGGAGCATCATCTCCACTCTCTGCCTGAACAAGGTGAGACTCAGAAAGGTGACGGATGGCAAACTAAGATCCCCAACCTAATATAGCTGTGTCCAGCACACCAGCCTGGCTCAGGGGACCTCAGTCTGCCAGGCTTGTGCAAAAGGAAGAGCCGCTTGACCCTAAAAAGGGACTCCCACAAGAAAGGTGCTTGGCTACAAGTCAGGAGCTATGATCCCAGACCTGGACACCCCGTAGACCCTCCTCAGGTGTCCCTGGGCTCTGAAGACCACATGCTTCATCAGGTTTGTGGGACCCAGGCTTGGAGATTCTGGTTCCTCAGGTCTGGCACAAAACCCAGGAATCTGCATCATAATGACACTTAGGGGACTCCAGACCAAGGTTTCCACAGAAGAAGCAAACTGAAAGCTAGACCCAGCTCCCACCCATCTCAGACCCTGCACCTCATTCCACAGGCACGCAAAGGAAAGTCTACAGTGAGGCGAACAGCCTATGCATCATCCAAGAAACTTCCTGGAGGGCTGTGCTCACTTGTGCCTGGGCCCCCTGAGACTCGAGAATCCAGCTGCACTGAGGGGATCTGCCTAACACTGTCTCTGTTTGCCATCCTCCATGGACCATGAGGTCAATCCTTTGCGTTTGGGGAACATGAGTGCACAGACACTTGACAACTAGGGAGTTACATCCGCCCCATGTGGGAGTGAGCTCCTCCAGAGGAGCAGGGAACGAAGGGGAGGGAACACACCCTCCCCTTATGAGGCAACTACCTAAGAAAATTCAGTTTTTATGTAGTCTGCTCTCTAAGAACTCCTCTTCCCCAACAGGAGGCCCAAAAGTCAGTGGTAGGCCTTAAATTCTCAGCTGTCTGAAGAGTAAGAGTCAAAAGAAGAAAGAAGAGTTAAATTAATTCTCTTTCTAAGAAGTTGAAAGTAAAATATCCACCCACATGTGGACTACACAATAACGAATATGACAGTTCCTCTGATTTGGGATGTGTAATAGGACTATCCCAGAAAAGCCAAAGTGCAGCCTACAGTTCACAGGAAGAAAGCAGAATTCATGCTAGAGGGGGCTTGAGGTTCTACCCACCCCAAATGATCCAGGGCTCCAGCCAGCTATTAATGCCTTGTGCACAAAACCACTAGCAACCTGGGGACACTGAGGCACAGCAGTGGAGGTCTTGGCCAGGCCTTGGCAACCTGACCTGGTCCTTGAGGCTGGCAATCTGATTCTGCAGCTTCTGGATCTCATGCTGCAGCTGAGAGATCTGGATCTTGGTTTCCTTCATGCTGTCCCCATGAAACTGGGCTGATGACTGAAGCTCCTGGTACTGAGAAGAACATAGGGGACATCATTGGTTGAGAAGACCACCCCTTTGACCTCCACACCATGGGGAGCATGGTCTCCCTTTGGAGATGCCTCCCACATGCTCGTTTTCCCTGTGTGGACTAACTGCCTGGGACCAGGACTCAGCGGATATACCTGCTCAAGTCCAAGCTTGTCTCCCAGTTGCCCTGCATTGCTTCCCTCCTGGGAAGGGGCCATGCTCCCAGGCAGCCAGCCCTGGAGGTTATCAGAGTGGCCCCAAATGGAATAAAGGTGGTCCGCACCCTCAGCTGTGGACACGGAGAGCCAGCATCGTGCCACCCCCAGCCCTAGTACCTTGGTCTGGTACAAGGTCTCAGCCTCAGCCCTGCTGGTGCAGGCAATCTCCTCGTACCGGGCCCGGACCTCATCGATGATGTCACTGAAGTCCGGACAGCGGTTGTTGTCCATGGACACCACTACAGATGTGTCATCCACCTGTGTCCGCAGCTGCTTCCTTTCCTGCAGAGAAGATGGCCTCAGCACCTACCATCCCCACTCCCTCTCCCTGAGGCCCTCAGTAGAAAGGGGGCTTAACTTTTTGCCTACCTCATTCACAGAGTATGATTGCCTCACTGAACTCAGCATCCTCATTTGAAAATAAGAACCAAAGAGTTGGTCTCTCCTGGCTCTTACTGCTTGGACATTAAAGAAAAGGGGCCTGCAGGGCTCAAAACCACCTGTCCCCATCACTCCTCTGGGCCCAGTCCTACTCCTCTCTCACTTGTTCCCCCTGCTCCAACCCGGATGGCCTCCTTGCATTGCCTCAAAGGCACCAGCAGGCCACAATCCCAGAAAAGCGCTATCGTGGAGACCTTCCTTTCCTCCCACAAATCTTCACTCTAGTTCCACCTTCTAAGGAAGAACCTATTCGAAGCTGCCACCTGTTCCCCATTTCCTATTCTCCTTTTCCTGTCCTCTGTGGCACTGATCACCTTCTGACATACCATATAATTTATTTATTTGCTAAATCTAATCTGTCTCACAAGAGAAAGCAAACTTTGTGGGGTTTGTCTGATTATTCATTAATGTATCCCAAGTACCTAGCAATCTATATAATAAATTTTTAGTGATTGTCAAAGGCCTGAATGGCCACAAATCTAAGCCACCTAAAAGGATTCCTGTCCTGATCAATCTCTCCCATGGCCACAGAGAATCTCCTTCCCACCCTGTCCCCTTATCACTCCCCCATGCCATTGGCAGATTCTCACCTCTTCATACAGGCGCCTCAAGAAGCAAAAGAATTCTCTCAGAGCCTCCAGTTTCCCTTCCAACTCCATCTTGCTCCAGAAAGCCCCATCTGCTTCCTGGGAACAGCGAGAAAGAAGCCACATAGCCACCACTTGGTCTCCGCCAGCCCTAGACTAACTCCAGAGTTCTGTGCCCCACTGCTCAGCTCTCACCCATCACATTTGCAGAGACCTCTCCTTCCTCCTCCAGCCCAGCATGCCCTATACTGACACACAGTGCTCTCCCTGATGAAGCCCAGCCAGGTCTGCTTCATCCCCTCCCGCGCAGCCACTCCTGCAGTGACCAGAGCCCCCAGGCAGTTCCTAGCTGGGTCTTGTCTTGGGTTCCCTATGTCTAAATAGCTGTCCCATTTTTCCCCTGGAATGGATAGGAAGGCAAAGTGATGGCATGTCTCCCTCAGAAAGAGCTTCCACCCTCTCCCAGCCTATGACCAGGCTCTGGTGATGACAGGGGCTCAGGATCCACATGGACACATGAACTCCCACACACACCTTTTTGAGGACAGCAAAGTCATTCTCCACCGTGGCATGCCTGTGGGCCTCTAGGTCATACCTGCCAAGGAAGTAGAATTGGACACAGTCAGGTACAGGAATGGAGTCCTGGGTCCTGTTCCCCACTTCCCTCCCTAAGAGGAACTTCCTCAAATTTTCATGCTTCACAATAGGACCCATGACCACGCTCTTCTCTCTTCTCCTGACCAGAGGCTCGGTTGCATCCTAGCTACATATGTGGACCACTCTTTCTACCAGTGTCCCCTATGACAGGAGACCATGTTCAGTTTCTAGGACACATTCATGTGTCTGTTCTCATAATTATTCACAACCACTATCTGTGGTAGGCAGCTTGGGTTTTATCAAACCAAAATGGCGTTTTTTTTTCCCAGGGTGCAGCTGCAGAAACTGAGGCTAACCAAGAGAAAATGACTTGCCCATGGCCACATGACTACCCGTGCTCACAGTCTCTCCAACACAAGCCTCTGTCAACACTAGGTGACCTAGGTGAAGAGCCCAAACCCTAACCACAGCCCATCTGTGAATCATGCCATGGGCCTAGGGATGGTCCCACTAAATTAGTTCCCTTCCAACCCTGAGACCAAAGAACATCTGAGTCACTTTGGCCCAAAGCCTGCTAAACAGGACTTTCTCAAGAAAACTTTACTGTAGCCTTGTTTGAATAAGCCCTTCCCAGGCCTGACCAGAAACATGGCCCTCATGGCTGTGGCCCGTAGGAATGGACCTCAGCCCCATGGAGAGAGGTAACCCTGCCCTTCCTCCAAGGCAGGCAGGGTGGCTGTGGTGTCTCGTTGGCCTCAGAAGGTGGGGCTCTGTGAGTTGGTGAAGGGGACACAAAGCAGGGAGGAGAGAGGCAGTCATGTGTCCCCAGACTGATGTGTCCCTTCCAGCCCCCCAGGAGAGCTGTGGTTTGCCTACTTGGCCTTGTACTCCTCTTCCTGTTTCTGGCAGGCTGTCAGCTCGGTATCCAAAGTCCCTCGTTCCCTCTGCAGCTGCTCCAGCTGATCCCTGAGATGAGCCAGATGGGCCTCAAAGATAGACTCCAGGTTCTGGGGACTGTCACTCCTCTCCAGTTGCTGCAGCAAGTGCCACTTGGTCTCCAGGACTTTGTTTTGCTGTTCTAGGAACCGAACCTGCAGCCAAGGACAGTACCTCTGAGTCCTCTAAGGGACTCCCATGCATGGCTTCCAGTAGGTCAAGCTTTGGGGACATTCCTGTCAACACCACTGTCCCCTGTCTTCCCATCCTGGTTGGGAAGTGCCCCTCATGCCTTTCCATGAGACCCTGGGCACATCCAAATGGCAGCCCAGCCTGACAGAAGCGTCGTCCCATCCTGACCATAGGTCTCTAACCCTGAGCCTCAGCCATGAACAGGCTCGGCATAACCAGAGCCTCCACTCAGGCCTCAGGAAGACTTCTTTGTTGCAAAAGTGATTGGGAAAGTAGTAGAAAGAGGTCAGACCTTCCCATTCCCAGTCCATCAGGAGCAGCTCCTCAGACAGAGCCACACAGACAGCAGCTGAGCTGAGTAGAACCTCACCTTGTCAATGAAGGAAGCAAACTGGTTATTGAGAGTTCGGATCTCCTGAGTCTCCTGGGTCTTCACCACTTGGAACTGTGAGTCAATCTCAATCTTCAGAGGGGTCAGCAGATTCTGGTTGATGGTCACTTCTCGGATACCCCCTGGAGGGCACAAGGAAAGCCCAGGCGCACCAGTCCCTTCCCCAGACCACATTCCCAGCCTTCCCCGTGACCCCCAAGTCCTTCCTTGAGAGCCTCTTTGGCATTGCCTGAAAGAACTGAGGCTCCTGCTGCTGAAACTGCCCCTGCTACGGCCCCCTGAGACAGCAGAACAGGCTGAACGGGTGCTGAAGCCCCTCTGGGAACGATACGGGGACAGAGACATGGCAGACACAGCAGGTACACAGCAGCAGACGGATGGACAGATGGACAAGGTGTATGTGCTTCTGCCCTGGGGCCCCAGCACGAGACTTTTATCCCCTCCCAGACCTGGGCTGGGCCTTGGAAAACAAGATGCTCTTGGCCTGACTGTGTCTGTCACTTGGCTCCAGCTGATTTATTCTGACACATCTGGGGAGTGGGTGCCCGGCGCACGGAAAGCTCAAAGGGGGAGACCCAGGCCCAGCCCAGGGAGCCCCCAGCTGGCAGAAGAGATGGGCCTGCCTCCCCCTAAGACAAAGAATCATTCAGAGCCCTGGACTGCAGTAAAGGGAAGGCCCAGCCCTGAGCGAGGACACTTTCAGGGAAGGATTCCTGGAGAAGGAAGTGGAGAGGAAGGGGAGCTTTGCTCAGAGCAGAGGAAGAGGGGGTGGGGTTCCAGTGAGGCATTCAAGCACCCTGAGAAGGAAAACTGAGGACTCCAAAGGGAAGTTCTCCCTCCAAGAGGTGGAGGAGGAAGGCTCCATGCAGCCCCATGGCCAGGACAGCAGAGTTGCTGTTACCATCATGGGCTAAAAGGTACTGCAGGATTTGGAAATGACACAGAAAAGCAGGGTGTCCCAGTCCTAGTCCCTCCTCTTGCCCAACCCAGCAGTCTCCCAGGAGGCCCCACCTGCTCCAGGCAGGCATCTCCAGCCAGGACCAAGCAGTGTTGTTGAGCCTGCCGGCATCGCTGCTCCTCCCTCCACAGTACCAGGCTGGTACCCCTAGGCCCCAGCCCTGAACATCCAGGGTACAAATCAGGAGTACCCGGACTCCAAAATAAATACACATTCAGAAAACAACTCTCGGGCCAGGGAGATAACTCAGTAGAATAAGTGCTTCCCTGGCAAGCACAAGGGCCTGAGTTCAATCCCCAGTTCTGCAAAAAAAAAAAAAGAGAGAGAGAGAGAGAGAGAGAGAGAGAGAGAGAGAGAGAGAGAGAGAAAGAAAACACTTATGCAGTGGGAGAGAAACAGGGAGTTTATGGTTCCCCAAAGGATGGATTCTGTCTTGGGGTGCAAATGCTAGCCAGCAGAGACGCAGTCATATTTTAGTACCACCTCCTCCCCAGGAAAGTCCCCAATGGAAGGGTGTCCAGCAGCCTGCATTTAGACTCCTCCCTGCTGGCCTGCAGAGTTGGACAACTGTGATTCTCAGCAATGTCTATGACTTCTTTACATGCCAAGCAACTATTTCTCCCCGTCCCCTGACCCTTTCCTAGAACCTATTGCATTTCAAGGGTAGGAGACTGCAGTCTTTAGTGATACAACTCAAAACCAGGACAGACAGAAATGCAACATACTACATTCAAGTGACAAGGCTATACTTTCAAGGATCACTTCTATGGTGTGGCACATTCAAGTGGTTGTGCTATGAAGAAGTCAGGTTCAGCAATCAGGGCAATCGCAGGCCTCCACCCCAGACCAGACAACTACAACCAGGTGTCCCTTCCCACCAAAGGACTCTAAACCCCTTCCTCCCATCTCCAGATCACCCAGCAGCAGCCCTGAGTGATGCTAATAGGGAAGAAGAGACAAGGCCTTCAATGGAGAGAGCAAAGAAACTTAAGGAGTGTGGGGTCAGATGAGAAAAGCAAGAGGAAAGAAAAGATTTGGGAGTGTGTTGGGAGTCCCAAGGAGAGAGGAGGCAGCATGGGGAACGAAGAGCTCGGGAGACAGAGTAGATCCCAAAAGCTTCCACACCCTCCTTGGGGACCACTTTGCAGAGGCAAAGTCTAGGTTTTACTGCTGAGCCCCAGGAGTGCATGTGAGACAGGACTGTGGGGACTAAACCCTGCTACCCTTCCCTGTCGGTGTTAAGACCAGAGGCCACACTTGGCATGGAGCAAATCCACCTGTGTGCAACTTCCCCATATTTATAATATTACAAAATATGACAGCCAGGAAGGAGTTCCAAGGTCATCTGACCCAGTACCTTGGGTTAACACTTGAGGACTAAGGCTGTGCAGGGTGTGGAGTAGGGTGTAGACTTCGAACCCTTGTGTAACCTACGGGGTTGCACCAGGTGACCTCTCGGTCTGCTCCGGCCCTCACTGTTGGATCACAGGGATCTTCTCAAGGCCACCCACACAGCTGCTCAGGCTGGAGCCACCACCCCCACCCAGCTCAGACCATGGCCCTCTGGAACAGCTCTACAGGGACCTTTTGCCTCTTCTTCCCACCTGTCCCTCAAGCTTTCTTAGAAAATGCCACCAGACGCTTGATCATAATCTCACTGTGTCCATCTGGCCCACCACTCTATCTAGCTCAGGCACCTATTGGCATCAGTATGTATTTCTTGACAAAATGCAGTTCTTTTTTATTCCTGTGCTAGGGATTGAACCATGCTAGACAAGCGCTCTACCCACTGAGCGACATTTGGATCCCTGACACTCATTCCTGGGGACCTTCTTGAGATTTGAAAATGCTGCTGTAGCCGATGCTTGCTCTATGGGAAAGGCCTCTAAAAGGGCATGCAGTGGACAACTGTTTGGATGGGATCTAGAACCTGTCCACATAGTGACTGGCTCCCACACACAGAGGTGCCCAGGGAGCCTGCAGTCCTACAGCAGCAAAACTACAAAGGCTCATGTTGCGTCTTGTTAATCTAGCCGTGCGCAAGCACTAATAGTCTCTGTCTTTCCTTCTGTCCCCTGCTTTGGTTAACCACTGTCAGCCACTCATCCCCTCTGCAGCTCCTCTCTTGCCCAGCCGCACCTCCAGGAGAGGCTCTGGCAGCACAGCTTCAAGGAGCCTCCTACAGCCCCTCTTGCATCCTAAACTCAACCCTGGCCCCAGCTGAGATGCCCCAACCTCTACATAACTGCTCTCCAGTGTGTTCCTACTTATACAGCTGATTTTGCCCCAAATGTCATATACTAATTTGTTCCCAAAAAATGTGATTGAGCACCCAATATGTGCCTGGGCCTCTGCTAAGAGTCAAGAATTTAACTCAGCCCCTGTGCCAGGAGATGTTAAAAGTCTAGTAGGAAAACAGACCTGAAACAAGTAATTAAACAAATATTTAATTTAAGCCTGGTAAGGAGAAAAAAGTAGATCCTGAAAAAGACAACCTAATTTATTCTCAGACATGCTAGAACACTGCCACAGAGCCTTGGCACTTACTGCTTCTCCTACCAGATACAGAAGCTGCTCCTCACCTCCTCCAAGCTGTTATTCAAGAGTAGCCTCCTCACAAGACTAGCAGGGGGGCTGGGGAGATAGCTCAGCAGTCTAAGGACCTGCCTGGCAAGCGCAAGAGCTGGGGTTTGATCCCTGGTACCGCATGCTGTGCAGGCCCCAAGACTCCAGGCATGCTGTACTGGCCCCGAAACTGGGTGTGGTGGCACACGCCTGTAATCCCAGCACTGGGGAGGCTAAGACAGGAGAATCACTACAAGTCTGAGATGTGTATTGGGACCCTGTATTTGATAAATAAATAAATAAATAAATAAATAAATAAGAGAAGATGAAGGGGAGAAAGAGGAAGAAGGAATGGAAAAGGGAAAAAAGGATAATGAAAGTGGAAATTATCAAAATAGGTTATAGGCACATGTAAATACACCAAATGAAACCCACTGCTCTGTGTAAGTAATATACACTAAAGGAACCACCTTCCCCCGCTGTCCTAAACTAAGACTACAGCGCAGAGGCCACCCCCACTTCCTATGACCTCCCACCCCCACACGCTATTTCTTTCTAAGAGGTATGATCAAAACATAAAGTGAATGTTTTACATTTAAAAATATGTTGCTGTGGACCAGCGAGATAACTCAGCAGTCTAAACTGCCTGCTTAGGCAAGTTTGGGCAAGCGAAGGAGGCACAATTCAATCCTGGCACCACATACAGCACCAGCCCCCATCCCCAGGGCGGGCTGAGCCAACCACAAAAAAATAAAATAAAAATATATTATTGTAAAAGACACATTGCCATTATTTTTTCTCAAAACACTCCCCCTTGCTTCAAACATATTGAGGAGCCATTGTTCGTGCCACTTTCTTTTATTTTAGTGTTTATTTTTATTAATACATATTTGCAGTACGTACGGGTTACATTGTTCACTGAGAGTTGATACATGCATATAACACATCTTAATCCTTGTCTTTTCCTTCGCCTCCTCTCCTTTCCAACTTCCTCCCTCTCTTGCCACTTTCTGAAGCGGTTCTGGAAGCCCTCTCTCATGAACATATTTAGTCATGCTGCTGTGACTACCTCAAAATGTCCTGGATCCATTCAAAACTTTTACCTTTCATGGTCATTTTTACCTTGAGGAATTACTGGAAGCAGGAAGAGCCTGTGAAGAAGACAGATGAGGGCTGGTGAGATGGCTCAGTGGTCTAAAGCACCTACTTAGAACAAGCTCAGCAAAGCTCAGGGACCGCGGTTCAGTCCCCCAGCACCACATGCCAGCCAGCCCCGCCCCCAGGTGGGCTGAGCTGGCCGCACACACAAAAATAAATAAAATAAATTTTTAAAAAAAGAAGAAGAAAAGACAGATGAGGATGTGCCGCCATGTTTCTGGGAGCCCACCTTTCCATTGGACGGCCCTGTGCAACAGCATTCACTGTATTTTTTTATCACTGTTTCCAAAAGGAGCAAGAACAGTGAGGGGACCATTTTCAAAGCAAGGGAGACTGTTTTGAGGGGAACTAATGCCAATGTGTCTTTTACCGTAATAAAGTCTTTTAATTTAAACATTCGCCCTATATTTTGATCATGCCTCGTACTTAGCACCATCCCTTCCTAGCATGCCCTCTGCCTTACTCACTCTTGTTTGTCAGTCTCTCTGCGCTGGACTGTGAATTCCACCAGAGCAGGGATTCTGTCTTTGGCTCATTCTGCATCCTCTAAGTGCCTTGCATCCCATCGTGTGGATAAATATTCACTGTGTGAGTCACCTCTGGGTTTCCTTCTATTGATTTCCTACTACCTTTCAACCTCTGGAGAGCCTTGTAAGCTTCGGCG